TGAGTAGTAACCCAGTAGTAATAGGACTCTAAGTCATAAACTTTAGCAAATAGCATTGGTAGAGCTAGAAAAAAATTGCTGTAAAGTAATTTCTTTATGCCTCCTTTCCACATTTGGAAGGTACTGCTCTTTCAATATGTGTAGTGTATGTGTACTTTCTGAGTATTTCATAGGGGGCTGTCTTCTAGGTAAATATCTTTTGGGGTTTTTATTAAAGTTCGAAATTTAGTAAGTTTGCCAACTCTTTTTTTGTATATAATTGCTTCTTTTCTCATTTTTTCTGAAAGGCGGACTAGCTGTTTACACAATTGCTAAGGAACTTACCATTTCTTAGACTTAATTCTTCTTTTTCCTCTTTTTTTTTTTCTTTTTTTTTAGGGGCTTTGTGGTGATTGTCAAATTTTCTCTATTATGTTGCTGTTTTGTTGCTGTTTTATTTAAGGTGGCATATTTGAGCTGGGTGCTTACTTACGATGTATGCTATTGTATGAAGCATGGTTTAAGGAATGCAGTTTGTGATATTGTCGTAGTATAAACTAAGATACTAAGTTTCTAACGATAAGGGAAAAAAATCTCTGTCTCTTCTTACCGTGTCGTAATTTATGAAAAGCTATTCAGCTTAAATATGCATTATTTTGGCATGACATTTATGTTTGTTTTAATCTGTTGGAACTAGGTGTCTGGAAATTATTTCACTTTAACAGAATACAGGATGAATAATATTTCACTGCGCAGGTAAAAGTAATAGGAATTAATATAGGAGACAATTTATGAGATACCTGTGGCACTTCTCTTTTGAGGTGGACTGCTCAGGAGATCCCCAGTAGGTTCAAACAGACATTTCCTGTATTTGATGGGCACTCTCTAAGGGAGTCCCACAGGTGGTTGGTGTTTATGTTGCTGTAGAAATGCAGAAAGATGAGGACCGTAAAATAGCTTTGTGAGTGCTCTCTCCAAGTGAAACAAGTTACGTGGGAATTTTTAGTCTTCTTATGTTCGAGATACCTCGTATTTTGCACATCATCACTGTAAAGGGACACTTTCCTTAAGACATGGGGCTTTTAAAACTATTTTGTTGCTTTTTAGCCAATAATGGAGGAGCTCATTTGTCATCTTGCCAAGTAACTGGGTGTGCTTGTTGGTTCCTGTTATTTTTAGAAATTCGGTGTTTAGAATGAGTGGAGATTTTAACACCTCCTTGTTTCAGGGAGTAACCTTTTGTATCTGCAGATACATGGCATGTTACCACCAGGTATGTTTCAGGGCCACAGCAGAAGAGCCCAATAAATCAGCCCAATAAATCTTGGAAAGTAAGTGGCAAAGCATGCATGTACATACACATGCGCATGCACATGCCTGCACACTTTTATATATATAGGTAGGTATAGTAATTATGAATTGGTTGCTAAGAAAAACTCAAGATTAGCAAAGTCCATATTCATTGTAAAGTGCTTTTTTTTTTCCTGGAAAATGTGCTAATAAGGCTTTAATAACCGTCAATCCAGACTGCTTGGCTGTACTTTCACATGTCTCATTTTAGAAAGAAAAATCAAATTCGGAAGTATTAAAAAAGTAATAAAAATGCTTGAAGTACTGTTCAGTATAAATAGAGAAGAAAGGTGTGCTTTTGAATTCTTGGCATTTCCCTAACTAGACGCTACTGTGAAGACTAGGAATAGAAGATCGATCTGTTTTCTTTGCTGCAGATCAGAAAGGATCGTAGCTCTTGAGAATCAGATTCTGAGATTTCTTGCAATGCATTCTGTCATCCAAATTTGTTTGTGGCATTCCTTTTCCTTGCTCATTGTTATGTAAAGGGCCAAGATTTAAAAGAGAAAATGCTAAGCTTGTATTCAAGGACAGAGCCCTCTAAGTTCGTCCTCAGGTACTTGTTTGTAGTTCGATATCCCTAAACAAGGGAAAAAGAATTCTCTTGTCATACTTACAATTACACTTTTCCATAAATGCCACTTGCTCATTAGCGAATATTCTTTAAGTTTACTCTCATTTGCAATGTGTAAGCAGTTTTTTCTTCAGACAACGTTTGCAAGCATAGAGCAAATGAGTAGCTGAGAGGCTTACTTTTAATGATGTATAGTTCAAATTGTTGTTCTGTTAAAATACAAATCGTGTTTTTCTCCAAATCCCTGTTAATTCCTTGCAGATGTTTGTTGTCTTCAAATGGAAATACTTGATCCTTCAAAAGAGTTAATAAAAGCTGAAACCAAAGCTTGACACTAACAAACCTGACCATTGCCTACATTTGGTGACCTATAAGAGGAAAAGGAAGAAAATACACTTGCTCTCTGAGTTTGTTCAGAACCCGAGTTACCTTGAGATAAATTGGTGTGAATGATGAGATGATGAGTTGGGGCAGTATTCGAAGTTAGGTTGAAATTGTAAATGTTGTATGTCTGTGACGCAGTCTTAATTTCCTCTTCCAAAACTAGTTAGAAATCTGGGAGTGCTGGTTCTCATAAACAATGTAATATGAAACAGGTTGGGTTAAACTGATGGAAGAACCTGAGTCGTATTTCATTGCAGTTGAAAGCAGTTGCATTTCAAGCTGATATTAAGTTGTTTCAGTTTAAAGCTAAGCAGAAATGAACTATGCCAAAACTGAGATAAAAATTGACAAAGGACTCTAGTGTTTTAAAATAATATATTTAATGACAGGTAAGTACCGGGCTACATTTCGGAGACGTTTTATGTTTTTCTTCCATAAACAAAGAACCGCAATCCTAGTATTGTTTTTTCCTTCAGTTTTGTTTCTGGTCTTACGTGTGAACTGCAGCTACTTCCAATGTGAACCATTATTCATTCCCATGCAGTTGTTCATTTTTTGAAAATTCTAAGTGCATTTTGACATGGTGCTGAATTGATCCGATGTCTTGTGAGAATGTTTGGGTTGTATTGTATAAAGTAGTTGCCAACCTCCTCAGATTAGCAAATGGCGTAGTGACTTTTTTATCCCTCTAATTGCAGCTATTTTACAGCTTAATTTTTTTTTTTCCAGATAAAGGCCATTTTAAACTGCAGGCATATATAGCCCTATTGCTAGATTTATAGCCAGGTGACTATGTAAGACATGACTGCAAAGAAAGAGCTGGGAGTCCTGATAGAGAGCAATATGAGCCAGCAATATATCCTTGCGGCTAAGAAGGCCAAGGATTTCATGGATTGCACTAGGAACAGCATTGCCGGGAGGTGAAGGGACACAGATCTTCCCTGATCAGTCAGCCCTGGTGAGGCCACGCTTGAAGTACTGTGTCTGGCTCTGGCTCCCTATACAAGAGAGATGTGGAGCTACTAGAGTGACAGCAGGAAAGGTGGTGGTGAGGGGACTGGAACTAGTATCACTGCAGGTGATAATAGTGAGGGAGCCGGGACTGTTGAGCCTGAGGAAGAGAAGCCTTGGAGTGGAAAAAGGAATCTAATCAATCTGTATAAGCACCTGAGGGGAGGTTGTAAATAAGATGGGGCCAGACTCTTCTGTTGTCCCCGAAGGCAGGATGAGGCAGTGGGCACAAACTGGAACAGGAACGTGAGGGAAAATTTCCCATCTGAACGTGAGGGAAAATGTTTTCACGGAGAGGGTGACTGAGGACAGGATCAGGTTGTCCAGAGAGGTTGTGGAGTCCCCATCCATGGAGGGATCTGAGCAACGCTGAGTGTGACCCTGCTTGAGCAGGCGCATTAGACAAGGGCATCTCTAGAGCTCCTTCTCATCTTCAACCAGTCTGTGATAACAGTCCTGTGAGGAGACTGATTAGGAAAGAATCCTCAGCAGCGTGGTTCCTTCAGCTAAAAACGAGAGTTTTTTTCCTGTTTCCTAAAACAATAACTTGGTTACTGAACTCTCTGTGAGGAGGTGCCCACTCTCTTAATAATAAAGCAAAAATAGCTATATTAATTATTGTATTTGTTTTCAAGAAACGAGTGAGTCAACAGATATTTGTGCCTATGAACACTTACCTATCTTGTTTCTATGAAACAGAAGGGTATCAGTGGGAGAAAGAGAGGAAGGAACTTCTTTCAGAAAAACTTTGTAGCCCCGCAATGAATAAACAATTATGTGAGGCCCTGGTTTAAATCTGTGTTCATTAAATAAAGTCGATTTAAGATGCCATCACCTACCTCAACTTCAGAACACCATTTCTTCTTCTTAAACACTTCCTCAGGCTAAATGGGATGTACTGCTCTCCTGGTATATAGGTTCAATTCTAGTGTGAATATGCACCTTGTGTAGAATCTAGGCAGAAATAGATTGCAAGGTTTTATTGAGTATATGTGAAATATATCTTGGATACTGTAATGAATTTTGCCACTTATATTCCATTCTTGTTTTTCTCTGTTGCTTTAAAAAGACTGGGACCCCTCTGCAAGAAGGGGGATATTGTTCCTTCTCTGTGGATACCCCTGGCCATGGTCAGGGGATTTGTACCTGGAGAAGTCGGGATTGGCATCCCAGTGGAGTGACAGCTTGGCCTTGAGAGCTTGTATTAATGTGGAGAAACCAAGAGGCTACACATGAGGAAAAGGAAGCAGCCAGCGAGGCCTCAGAGGACAGAAATCTTCCTAAGCGCTAGAAGGGCCTGTACAGAGCCAGCAGTGCAAGACACTAGGTTGCCTGAAACAAGCTTGGAAAGTAGAAGTTGCTTTTAAAGATACAATGGAAAATTTGCTTAATAGGTTTTTAAACTTCCATTCTCTGGCCTATTTTGTGCTTTTTACTTTGTTTTATTTTTTCCAATAATTAATTACCTTAGGAAATGGTCTGATTAAAGCCTGTTTTTCTTTAATTTAAAAGTCTTCTCATTGTCTTTGAGGAGCTGCAAACACAGGCATATTCCAGTTGTCCTCATTCCTGAGGCGGAAATTTTGTGGGTGGATTATCATGGGAGTGACCAACATGTACATACCTGGTCCAGAGCTATGCCAAACTTGATGATTCTGCTCCCAAAACATGTGAAAAAAATGTCTGCAAAACAAGTTTTCTAGAATTTTGTTACCTAAGGGGAAATTAGAGGGGAGCCTGTACGAAACAAATAATTTAAAAAATCCGAAAGCAGCTAATTGGCTTGGAGAGCTACGTTCTAAAGCATTGTAACTTAGCAAGGCTAAGAACGGGAAGCAAGTTTTTACATCAGAGGTCTCTAGCTTACAGCAGAAGTGCCAAAAGCGGCACGTAAGTAAATATTGCACTTTGCATTTTCATCTTCAAGCAGTGCATTTTGCATAATGTGATTTAGGGTGGAGCTGCAGCATTTTGAAAAAAGCGTGTGTCATCATTTGCTGTCATCTTGGGAATCTTGTCTGTGAAGCCAAGAACCGAAGGAAAGCCAGCACTGATACCCAGGCAGTGCATTGCCAGTTAGTTAGGTGTAAGTCTGCACTGAATTTTTACAGTCTACCTTTGAATTTGAGAAACAAAAATATGGTTCAGTTTGCCACTTCTCATAGGTTACCCCTAAAAGGGGAAGTGTCAAAAAGACTTAATTGTTTTGGTGCTGTCTTTGCATAATATTCCCTTATGCATTTATAATTTCCTTATACATTTATAATTTCCAAACAAGATTTAATTAATTTTTATCTGATAGCTTCAGCTATTCTGAATTAGGCAGTGAAACTACTTTTAAATGGAACTTACTATTAGTGTGAGCAGCTATATAGAAATTACACTGGATACAAATAAAAACACAGCTCAACTTTATAATCCAATGACTTTTAATCAGTTAAAGGAAATAAAAGAATAATTTTGTGTTGGATGTCATTGCCATATTGTGTTTACAAAAATGTGCTGTCTCTGTAAATTAATCTACCTAGCCACCTAAACCCACGTGGGAACATAAAGTTCAGTATTTCTTGCTTTAAAAAGAGCTATGTTAGCAACAGCAGGTGCAAACGACGCTAAAATTTAAAATTTAGTCATGCAAGTATATGTAAGTTGTGGATTCTTAATTATATTGTTTTTAATAACCTCTCTGCTATTGGTTTTATGTAGATCGTCCTTTGCAGGTTGGAAGTGCCAAGTGCAAGACAACTCGGTGAATGATGTGGATTATTTCAGCTTCTTGTTTTCAACCCTTATAGGTAATTCTTGTGAATATCATGATTTAGAATTAAAAAAAGGAAATCTGTTTTGGTAGATAACCGATCTATTTAATTTAGGATTTTTATATTATTTTTTATATTAGAAAGCTGCTGAGTTAAATTGATTATGTAGCAAAATCATTTTTGCATTACCTATCTTTTCCTTTTTGCTCAAAAAACACTTATTTTTATAAACGTTATTTAAAATATCAAGCAAGTTCCTCTTAACAAAAAACATTATGTGGACACAGTTAAATGATATTTTTGCTAAGGAAGCTAATACAGTAGAATAATGCTTGGCTTGATTTGTGTGTAATACTGTTTTACTGCTCCTTTCTTTCTTTTTTTTTTTTTTCTTCTCCTTCAGGGTTTTCAAGAGAGGAGTTGACTAGTCTTCAGGGCATTAGAGGAAAGCCACATATTAGTCAGACGCAGCTTTCACCGGTCCGTCTTTACCTAACTGATCTTGACCAGTTTCTACACCACTGGGCTGTGACAGAGGTAATAGCTCAATGCTAATTCTGATGACAGCAGACAACATGGAATGCTTCCCATCTCTTTTCCTTTCCTGCATATATCAGAAATCATGCCATGACTTGAAATACAGTGAAAAATATTATCCCTGCTAAACTGCTAGCCATATATTGAAGGAAGCTACTTCAAAAGGCAAATGTTCAGGCAGGTAATATGGAAAATTTTGCTTCTGGAACTAATGGGTGATGAGCTTTGGTGGAAAAATCCTAACAGTAAAATTAAGATTTAACAATGTATTTTAGCTTTCAAAAAATAATTTGTTGCAGGAGTACTAATTATGGACAATTTTTTTTTTGCGGGAGTAAATTCCACTGTTTGAAAAGCACTTTAAAAGAAAACATTACTGGTGATGAATATTAAGCTGCCATTTTAATGAAATATTACATATTTTAATGAAATATGTCAATTTGAAAGTATTCATGGTATTTGTTAGGAATACAGTGGGAAGAATGCAACACTAGTTTAGCTGTTAGGTTTATTTTGGGCTTTCATGGCAATCTTTGGTTTAAGAAAGCAGCGTAATAGATTTTTTTCTTGATTTTTAATTCAAGTTTAACTGATATTCTACCAAATCTGCCTAAATTGCTGATAGTCTGTCACATATTGTCTGATGCATATTTGATATTATTTTTATAAAATTATTTTAAGCAAGCTTATTTTTTGGACTTGCATATGTCCTTAGATGTCTTGCCTTCAATCAGATGGCCCGAGGAGGAACTAAGCATTTCGGTCAATTATTTATTTATTCCTCGCCAGCCCCGCTCACTTTCTCTCTCTTCTGGGCAATACTGGCTAGTTTTCTCACCAAAATACCTCCTTCTCCTTTGCTGAAAAACCAGCATGTTCTCTTTTCCTGCCCTGTAGAAAATGAAGGACTGTTCCCCTGTGAGTAAACCACAGGGTGACTTTTAAAAGTTTCTCAGAATTAGAATGACCATAATCCCATAAAAACATCTGGAGCATTTATATTCTCAGGGACTTTACTTGCTTTTGAAAGTACCACACCATATGTCACATCTTTTTTCTTTTTGCTTCTCTTCTACAAATCTGAAGTCGCTTGGGAAATCTCACAAGTGAAATAGTTTCACTTATGGATAAATAGGAGTACTTGAGTTTACAGATGCTGGGGTAGTTTATGGATAGCTTGCTTGTGCCTTCAGTCCCTGCTGGCCGGGCTGAAATGCTTCTAACCCAATCTTTTCAGTGCTTTAGTGCTGCTGAGAAGAGTCGTTACAGAGATAAAATGCAAGATATGCTTTTGTTGAGTACCTTCAGGTCAACTCATTCAGATATTCTTCACTGTTTGTAAAAGGGGACTTGGGCACCCTAAGGAGCATGCCTCAAGACTTTCCTGGGAATTGAGCTATCAGAATGTTTAGAAACAAAAATCCCCATGCATCAGAAAAAATGTGCAAGAAGAGTGATGAGATATTCTAGAGCTATTGCCTTCATAGATTTTTTTTTTAAAAACCAAAAGGAATTCTGGATTGCAGTTTATAATTTTCTCACAAACATGTTTGTGATTGTAGAGAAAAAGCTAATAGGGAACAGGTCTGTATCAGATTCAGGCCAAGACAAAACTTTTTCTTTTCTTTCTTTTTTTTTATTATTCAATAGTATTTTATTTGTATTTGGCAAGCTGTCGTATTTTATGTGCAGTCTTGAAGCAAACTATTTATATTAAATGCTCACCAGAAGGACTGGTAATACTGCAGTGTTTGGCATACTGATTTTGGAAGTTGGGGTGATTGTCCCTTACACCATGGCCTTCTCCCACTCCTCCTCCTGACTTCTTTCCCAAGTGCATTAGGATTGGGTCGAGGGTTCAGGTGGCCTTTTTTTTCTGGGATAAGGGGGGATGCGGGTGTTAGGTGTGGAGAACACTTTCTTCAAAGTGGATGTAGCAGTTCAAGGACTAGAGGTGGATTCCTTTCAAATTTGGTTACTCTAAAGTGGAACAATTTCCCCATCTACTTAAAATAGATACTTCCATAGTGGGATAGATGATGACATTAAAACTGCTTGAAAGTGTTGGTAGAGGATTGGGAATTTTTCCATTAAAACTTCTCTTACCTATGGAAAATTTTTGCCCTTTAGCTGGCAGAAAAATATCCAGTAATCTCCAGTATTCAAGTCCTCAGCCAGAAAATGGAAATATCTGTCTGCCTGTAGCTATCTATCCGTAGTTACAGTGTGCCTCCTTCTCCTGGTGCCTGGTTCTCGAAGGTCGGCGTTGTGTTCCTAAGGCTCTGGGCATCTTTCTAAGTATCAGGGCCAGGTGAATACAAGATCACAGATTTCCTTTAATCATCGGGCTTTTCAAAAAAATTATCTTGTTATTAGCCCCTCCATCCTCCTCATCCATCCTTCTGTTCTGCCACTGGTTTTGTCTAAAGTGTTGGCCAGTTTGGAGCTAGATCAATTAAAAGAATGAGGCCAGCAGGGCGGTCGGCATGGGCATAGCTCGGTGCTGGGAGGTGGAAAGGGAATTAAGGTTCCCGGACATGAAGGTGGAAGAGCCCGTGGATTGTGGATTCTGTTGCTCACTGTTCTCAAATCCTTTGGAAAACAGACCCAACTTCCAGTGCAAGCTCGTTGTCTCGTGCAATGCATGGTGTGCATTTCTAGGGATAAGGGGCTGCAAGAGGGAACTTCACGACACTTACCAGAGATGCAGAGGAGAGAGACATCAGTCTTGGAGAGAGAGCCGTTGCTATAAAGGAAAAGGATAATTCAAGGCTTTTCCAGCTGGCGATGGGAACTTTGTGCATTTTAACCATTGCAGTCAATTGCATGCGATGAATAATAAGCAGCAAAAAGACAAAACAGATGCACTTTTGATTAATGCTTTTAATTGTTTTAGAACATAATCATTTTGAGATGGTTATGGTTCATAACTGTTTTTTGTCTGGAGAGAATAGTTATTTGGGTACTGGAAATACAAAGCCTTGTGGTTTTTGGGGAGTTTTCACATATATACATATATGTGTGTGTATATATGTTTATTTTCTTGTATGGACTAATGCTTTAAGAACTGTCCCTCTAAATGTCATTTGGCTGTAAAGGTTAATTTTCACACATTGCCTGAAAGAGATTGAATGTAAATGCAGAAACCTTGCTTTATTTTCTGCAGCAACTTCTGATTTATTAAAGCTAATTATTCAAAATCAGATCCCTGCAGCTTAAATAGATGGGATTCCAGAATAAATTATTGCAGCCTAAAGGAAAAAGCTGAAAAAGCTTTTTTTTTTTTCCTCTTCGTTCTCATTTTAGCTGTGCCTATAGTGTTTGTTCCTAATATTGTTCACTCCCCTATAATTGAATTGCAATATCAGTAGTAAATGATACAGCACCAACAGAAATGGGCCGTTTAACAAGGTAACAGAGTATACACAATGATTTCTGCTATTATCATGTTTGACATTTGTGATGTTTAGATGTTGGGTGGGAAAGAGGAGCAATCTGCTGTTCTACAGTTCTCTTTGACATCTAGATTCCAGAGTTGTGTTCAGCAGACAGCTGATTTAAGGTAATAAAATACTCGACCATTTAAACGTTAAGATCAAACAGAAGTAACAAAGTTTAGTTTAGTAACAAAGTTGTTACTAAAAGTAGAATTGAATTCAAAAAATCCTTGGACGTGTGCAATATAATGTACTAACATGTCAAAAATGGAAAAGTTTATCAATGAAGGGCTGCAATGGCTCTATCTGTGCTGGCATGCTAACAAAAATTAGGGGAAATCAATAAATATAGTAAACAGATGCATACAAATTGAAGCTCTTGGAAGATACTCTTGGGAAAATAAAATGGTGTTAACAGTGCTATAGGCTTAACTTTAAGCAGATGTTAAGACTTCAAAATCTTCTAACTTTTTAAGACAAGAGATTTGAGGCTGAAGTTCCTGTAAGACTTTAGTTTGTGGTCTTTATTGAAATGCGAAAGTTAGAGTTATACCCTAACTTTGGGAGAACTCTGCATTGGGAAAACAGCTGAGGGTAGAGAGCAGCCCTTTTTGATCAGAAACACGCTATAATTCTTAGCTTCCATGAGGGAAGAGATCATTTGCAAGCCCACGACTGCTTTGTAAAAACCTATTGTACATAATTTTGATGTTTATAAATGAAAATGTTTATACTTGGAAAGTGCTGTTAGTGCTAAAGAAACAACAGAAGATTTGGAAGACATGGTTGTTTTCATAAGTGCTCTATCATACCTGTTATCCTGAACTGCTTGTTATCTTGGGGCATTTTAGAGCTGGGAGCTCAAGTGCTGCTGCATGTAGTTAACACATGCACAGTTAACACAGTTGCCTTGAAGAGCATCTCGCACACGCAGTGAACGTGCAGTGTGTTTTACAAAGTCACGTTCTGTTGGGCGATAACAGAGCTGCATTTCTGCAAAAAGACACGGTTTGTGGCATGAGAGCCAACTTGTTAACCGTGGGCAGCCTTCAGGGAAGCACAAGCTCTTTCTGGCTGGGTGGGCAGACAGGGGAATTTGGAGACTTGAAAATCAGAAGTTTGTTTTGACCATCGTGCGTGTGGCCTGAGGTGGGTGGACCCAAGGGGGAGGAAGCGGCTGCGCTGACATTTGGCAGCTGTGAGGCCTTCAGTGGCAGCGAGAGGAGGACACGCAAGTTCTCTGCAGAGTGAAGCTGTTCTGTGTTGTTCATTCTGAAATCCTGTTGCTAGAATGGCTCTGAGGACTCAGCCGTGCTGTGCTTCAGGTGTGCCTCTGTCTCCAGGAGGAGCATATGAGCTGTTGAGTGTAAAACCTGCCCGTGCTGCAGAAGAAGTGATTCCGGGCATGCTTGTCGCTTGGCAAGACCAGGTGCTTGTCCCGGCTGCCCTGCGCTCAGCCCTGCAGGTCTCCAGATTTAAGCACTCGGTCAAATTGTCGCCCGGCGGGCGAGTGGTGGCGGTTGCTACCCCGTGTTTGTAGCTGGGGGCAGGCAGGGCTCGTCGCCTGCTGAGCTGGCCTCCATGCAGGTTCAGCTGAGTGGCCTCAGCCCAGGAGGCCGCGCGCAGGCGGCTCGTGCGGTTCAAAGGCAGGGTGAGGTTTTACACTGCAGCTGCTCGGTTTCTGTAGCACAGTTGGGTATTAGCTGTGTTTCAGAATCACTCTCAGTCTTTGGAAGTAAGTACTGTGTCACGGTGTACAACCTGATGTGTGTGTTTGCCTAGGTATTTGTAACTTTTAAGCTTCTGCTTTTCTGCTTCTAAATTCAGCCTCACAAGTTGTCTCTTCTCCTGTTGCCCCTTTCTATTATGTTCGTATGCAGACCGTATTTCTTCTTATTTTTGTCCCTTGCTTTCTTTCAATCTAGGTTTCATTTAGCTAGGGTTGTAGGTGTGGTGTTTTTTGTTTTGTTTGTGCTGTTTTCTCCGAGAGTCCCAGAATTAGACCTTCTACCCCCACCCTCGTGAGCTCAGCCAAGGCAGGACAGCGGTGATCTCCTGTGGTGCCTCAGCAAGTCGGGGCACTGCGAATATCGCCCTGTCGGGTCCATTTCCCTGAGCGGGAGCAGCGGCAGCCGGCGGGACGGCGTGCTCCCCCGCGGGCCGGGGCTCGGGTGAGCAGCTTCCCTGCAAACGCCTCGTGGCCTGGGGAGCCGGGGGAGCTGACCCAGCTGAACTGCTGCTGCCTCAGTTGAGTCACCGGTGCTCGGCGTGGTTGTTGCTGTGAATTGAGGAGTATGCTTTAAAGTCCACGTTAGGATGCAGCGACTGGTGTTGGCCAGCTATTTTCCGAAATAAAATAAATTCTCTCCTTTCTTTATGCATGTTGGTAAGTGGCCTGCTGGTCTAAACTATCTTTGGTCAGGCTTTACCTTGTGGCTAGCCAAGATATTTGATCTATTTATTTTTCTGCTGGCGTGATTCCTCTCTGTGCTCCCACGTGTCTTCAGAGCAAGCTGGATGTTTCCCCTTTTGAGAAAGGGGAGTACTTAACAGCACGATTAAGCTTGACATAATGTGCAGATCATCACTGAAGAGTTGCTGATAAAGTATTTCCCTTGGGAAGCAAGATGGTGATAAGCCTTTCGAGTCAGGAATATGTCATGTTAGATTATGGGAAGTGTGGAGTGATTTGGGGAGTAGGAATGGTTAAATATATGAATAAAACTTTCTTGATGGTTCATCATTTGTCAGCATTCCTTTTCCATAAGACCTCAGGTTAAGTTTGGGAGTCAGGAGTTGAGAGCATTTTGCAGATGGGCAAAATAAACTGATGGATTCCGGGATATATTAGAGTTGCAAAAAGCCTTTTTTTAAATGAACCAAAAGTCTGTTAGACTCATTGTAGTAAATGCAAAAACGCTTTTACTTGGGCAGTTTGAAGATTTGTTTAGAACAGCGTGTGACTGGCCGCTTCTACCACGGGCTGCTTAGCGGGGTAGGGACGATTGCAGTAAGTGTTTCAGTGCTGGGGGGACAAATGCTCCCTTACTGTGTGCGCTGACCTCAGTGCTCACCTTGGCTTTCACACAGTGCCCTCCGTGGCACTGAGGTCTGCAGAGAGCAGAGGGTGCTCCCGGGCTGCCTCCCCTGCCCGTGTTTATCCGACTGGCCATGGATTCCCATCGCGATAGGGCGGGCAAGGACCTGGAGCAGTAATGACCGCACGGAGCGCCGCGGGGAACGTGCTGCCTCCGTTATGGGGCTCGTTGCGGGAGAGCTGGTTGGCAGGAAGGTTTGGTTCGAAAAATTGCAGTGAATTCTGTAGTATTTGCTGCATAATGTTAATAGTGAAGCCCCATAGGTAGGAGTATCGTTTTGGCTCAACTTGCTGAGGTAGACTTTAAGCTAAAAATAACCTTTAAAGCAAACCTTTTGTAAGAAGCTTGTCTCAAAAAGCCATAAAATTAAGATTTAAATGCTCTATGAATGTGCCAAAACTTTGATAAATGCTAATCAAATGTAAAATAATCAGTATCATGGAAACTAAACATCATGGAAACCCTTGCCTGAAGTTAATTAGTTGTTGGGGAACGTACTAGTTTTGTGATGATCAAATTTTCTTTGCTTTTCATTTCCATGTCTAGTAGATGTTTAACTCTTTATAGCACACAGTTGCTATGGAAGGCCAAATCAAAGGGGTTTTAATTTATAGAAGTGAAAAGGATTGTCACTCCCACTTAACACCATGGAAGTGGATTTGGATGTATAGAATGCTTGTGCTCTTTGGAGGGTCAGAAAGATTTAGAAAGGTGGAAAAATAAAAGGGTCACGGCTGTATGTGAAATGTTTGAAAAGTCATAAGGAACTTTTCATGCCTACTATATTCCTAGCTAGCTGTGCTCATCGCTGTTACTTTGTTATTGCTTGGTTAGTGTAAGTGTTTACTTTCCTGCAGCAGTTTTCATGTGTCATATTTGCAAGTCGCCTGAACAGGAGTCCTCCCATTTAAATCTGTAAGAGAGGTTCTCTATTTTTTGTGTACGCTTCCTGTTTCAGTTTGAATTTATCATTCTTGAAGATTCTTTCTTGAGTGCCTCCTGTTTTGCCCAGAATTGCAGAAATTATTGGTTTAGGATCTTATGGAGCAGTGCTGAAATTGTCTGCTTCTGTTGAGATATAAGTTTGTATGGAGAGTGGCATTTGCCTGTTTCATGTTGGTAGGTGATGATCTTGTCATCAGCTGTGCACAGAATGTGATCCTCATTTTCAACTGTTCCCATTCCTGGCCACATATAAAATTATTGGTCTTCAAGTGCATAACACTGAGTTTTTTTTTCATTTTTGTTTCACTGAGTCTTTTTCTTGTATCTGTTATTTTCATCATGATACTTATGATCCTTTCTATAGGTTAAGCCAATGCTCCCTGAAATTCGAGGTGTCAGCGAATATGTTTTATCAATGCAGTGTATTTTTTTTTAAACCTTTGATCTAAGTGTTATTCATTAAAGATGCTCCCTGAAATTCGAGGTGTCAGCCAATATGTTTTATCAACGCACTTTTTTTTTTAACCTTTGATCTAAGTGTTATTCATTAAAATGCTAGATGAGATAGGCGTTAAGATTTGTCCCTGACCTTCCCCAGCTCTGACCTCTATCTCAACTTGATTTCCTTCTTTGACACAGCTAGTATCTGCAAGTTTTTATCACTTTTTCAGGGGAAAAATATTCCAGAGTACTTAAGATTTTATCATTTCCAAACTGCAGCATACAAAAGACACTCCACGTGTAGGATACATGTGTGTGTATGTATGTGAGTCTATATCTGTGTGTATATATACATATTTAATGATATACTCTATATATAGAATATATAGCTTATGTATTACATATCTATATATAATTACGTACCAAATTATATAATTACGTACCAAAAACTACCAAACTGGTAGTTTATTGTTAAACACATACTATGGGTATTCAGTACCAGAGTGTCTACAAAACTGTGTCTCGAGTCGAGTCCTGCTAGGACACACAACCTGCTGGAACCCATTAGCAGCGCTGTGACAACCTCTCAGTGTTGGGTTCTGTCAAGAAAATGCCTTTAGGAAGTCTCCTGAATTTGGTGAGCGTCAGCGGGGCTGAAAGCGTGTGTGAGGTTAACTTTGAAAAAACCTGCCCCCACAAATGATCCTGCCTCTCCGTTTCTGTTGATAATTCAATCAACACGGTCTCATCCATGTTACTTTGGATTGAATTATAACATTACCAAACACTGATTTTAGGATTCTTTTCTGAATTTCCTTTGGGGTCTCTCTTCAGGTGGAAATACAAGCTGTTATTTTTGATACAGTGATGGTGATTTCTGTTTTACCATTTTCTTGCGTTGTGTCCTGACCTGCCCTGGATTAGCTGACGCTTCAAAGCACGACAATATCACAAAGTTTTAGCGCTCAATTTCGACCATTCTGTAGAAGCTTTCTTTAGTGCCTTCTTCAATCAGAAAGTACAACGTGGGGACTTGAACTCATGCACCCCCTCAAAGTTTTGAGCTTGGCAATTCACTTTGTGTTTGCTCTTAAATCAGAGTTCCTTTGCCCCGTGTACGGCTTTCATCATCTTCCTTGTTGTTAGTAGGAAGTGGCTAGTGTTCCAGTGATGTTAATAATTGTTCCTATTAGGCCGTTCACCTGTCTTTCCCTTCCACTCCTGCGTGGTAAACGGAGCACACAACCCAAGGGAGCTGGTACCGGCTCCACGTGAGCGCGACAGAGGGGAAGGAGAAGAGAGGGGGGCTGCGATCTGCCCGGGCTGCGACAGGGGTTACCCGTGCTGGAGCTCTGGGCTCTTAGCCCATGCTGGGGCCATAGAGCGTTTCATGAGGGCCTGCTCAGCTCTACCGACGGTTCCCAATATCCAGCTTGTTAATAAAACCCAGTTTCCACTGTGTTTACTCCACATTTATGGGCTTGCATTAAGAACTGAGAGTGTTCCATACCTTGCTCCCCATCCCTCTCTCTGTCCCTCCCTCCTCCTTTTAGGTAAAAGGAAGAAAGCTGCTAACCAGAAAGCTAATGCTATAGGTCTTCATTTCTTTAAACACTAATCATTTACATTGACAATGTTACTGTACCCTGAAAAGAATCACCATTTTTTGAGGCAAAACTGCTATGTCACTATGAATGCTTTATATTTAGGATGGTCAATGAAGTATGAATATGCAGGGGATGTTTGGTTGCATTCAGAGGACTTAATATAATTTGATTTTATTAAAACAGATGGTCTGTCACAGCTTGTCCACTATACCTTCACAAAGTCAGTGTTTCGACATTCTCCAGACTGGCATCTGTAAATACCTGGTAAGTAACGTTGTTTTCTATGTGAGCTTGTTTATTTTGAATTTTCTAAAGGTCTGATTAACCCTCAAAATCATTTCTTCCGTGTATTCTCTGTATAATTTCAGCATTTGCAAAAAATCTGAACACCATCAGTGAAGTTTGAAAAATATCGAATTTTTTAGTGTCCAAATTTATGTGTGTGTGCATATATATATATATATATCTTCTCTTCTGATTTCTAAATTCTTCAGCTTGTTTTCAAATGAAACAGCCATAAATGAAAGTATTTTTCTTCTTGAAAGAGTAACCAGCAACTTTAAATGGATTTTACAGTCTTACTTTTACAAATCCTAACGCCCCTTCATCTCAGAATGGGGGCTGTTTTATATCTGTGTAACCCCTTACTGGGTTATAGGACTCTTGGGGCAGACTTTGAAGGCCGGCTCTCTTTGATACTTGTTGCTCAATGGGAGGACTTGTGTGTCCCGTTACTGAAGCAGTTCTGTGATCTGACAAGTCATCACAATTCACTGTGCTGAGGCCTTAAAAAACCAGAGCTTCCATAGGAAATGGCTCATCCGGAACTGTGCTCTGGTTGGGGGTTTCTGTTTTTGAGGCAAGGGTTTCCCCTGCTCCTCGAAGCAGCTCGTGTGTTCTGGTGCATGGGCCTCGGGAAGCAGAACGTGAACATGTGGATTTTTGCCGTAGATGAGTCTGCTGCCCCAAGGGCTCTAACGTGCGGATGACGGTAGCTGAATCCCTCAACAGGGGAGGGAGGCAACATCCCATGCTGAGACTTACTTGAGTGTCTTACCTGCTGGGTGGGCATGAGCTGAAGTGTCTCTGTTCCGGGCGTCTTCCGGGCTTGTGGGTTGCAGTAGGTGTTCAGAGCCTGGCCGGTTTGGTGCTTCTCTCCTAGTGCTGTCCTTCTCGCTCACGCTCATGGCTTTCTGTGTGTGGTTGGTCAGGATGATCGTTATTCGTTTGGGGAATCGTTATTTGGTGCCTCCCTGTCTGGAATGCATCGACTCTTGCTCACAGTTGCAGTCCGCCTTTGTCACACAGGAGCAATGTCACCTGCCAAACCCTGTGTCAGAGGGCACGAGAGCTCGCGGCCCCGACGCGGAGCGGGATCGTGCCCTCCCCTTTGGCCCCGCGGGGAGGCTGGTCGCTCCAGGCATCCCGGGGTCTCCCAGGGGAGCTCCCCAGGCACCCGAGGCCTCCGCTCGCAGCCCTCCTGGGAGGTCTCTGCTCTGGAGCGCGCTGGCGTTCCCAGCACCTCCTGCCCCATGTGCCTGGGCTAGGCTGCCGTCCTGCGCGATGGACTTACCCGGAACGCAGCCGCTTGGCACCAGCGGGGGCCCTTCCTCCCGCCGCCGGGTTCCCTCCTTTGCCGGCGGCTCTGCTTTAGTCCTTCAGTGCGTTTGTTTCTAGAACTGGATTTGTTCTTCCTATCTACATTTTTGTGAGGGCTCTTTTTTTACCTTTACCTTTTAGAGGATTCTGCTGTCACCAGTTCCAACAGCCTAGAAATCTAAAGGAAGTTTCTGTGCAGTGTCTTTCGTAAGGCTTTCTGGTTTTTCAGTAGAATTCAATGATTTAAGCACTTTCTCCTCAAGTCTAGGTGATACGGGTTTGGTTTTATTTGGTGTCACTGCCTTAGTTCCTTCTTTTTGGGGTAATCATTAATCTACTAATGCTCCATCAGAAGATATTCTAATGTTTTGGAAGATACAAAGAAGTTCAGGCCTTTCATGGTTCCTTTGTTTTTTTTTAACCACCCAACAAGTAATCATATGGCATCACCTTATTGGTGTTTTTCTGAAAATTGGTATCGGCCCACTGTGTTCAGCTATCAACTGCAGTTGGTTTACGTAAAAAATATCTGCAGGGTGCAGAGCAAATTCAGCTTCTTTAACATTGCTGAAAGTACGTTTTTGTTGAGGTAAATGGTGCTACATTAGTAATGTTTGATTTTTATGCTTTTTCATGAGGAGAAAGATATAGCTACGAATAGCATTTCAAAATGAAATTGCTTTTTCATTTACCACTTCTATCTAAAAAAAAGACTTTTTTTTTTCAAAATTATTTTACTTACTGTTCCTAGGAATTCTTACTCAAGATGACGGTCTAATTTTTGCAGCTCGTAAGATCCCCCCAGCTGTGGTGCCGGCGTGCGTGCCACGAGCTTTAACCAACTCTCCTCCCGGCGCTCCCCTGCCTGTCGGGGTGCAGAGCTTCCAAGACTGGCCCCGACTACCCGGCAGCTCCTTGTCCCTCTGGAGAACAAACCGGAGTTTCCCCGGTGCGCAGGGGCTCGTCTGCCCCATGGTGGAGGCTGAGGAGCAGGGCCCTGTTCCGCGGGGAAGGTCCCTGCTGGGATGAGCGGCTCGGGGGGATGCGGTGGAGATGTTGGCTCCTGTCTTGTTGCAGCTGCTCTTGGCTGCCTTTGAAATCCAGGGGCTGAGGAAGGGCAGTAACTTTGTGAAACTTCTGCATGGTAGTTTGGGTGGGGCTTTTATTCTGAAATGGCAAATAATTCTGGGTTATATTGCTCAAAAAATACCCTAAATCTGTGCTCTCAAACTGATTCCTGATTTTTTGTCCTCTTTTCCTAGCTTGTGACATCACATAAAGAAATATTTGACTTTTGAAAGGCCTGCAAGCTGCAGGAATTTAAAGAAGGGATGGAGGGTCTAAATACTCACCCTGCTCTTTTAGAGCGACTTCCTTCCCTATAAACACCAGGCTTTTGGATTTGGGATTTTCAAGTAGGGAAAAGTAAAAGCATTCCTCGTTTTACTGAGAAAGACACAAGACCATCTCTTTCATGTACGCTAATCTAGGGGTTAGCACTTGGGTTTGCTGATCAGTTTTACCTGTGTTTTGCTTGTGCCTCTTTGCAAAATGTAGCAAAAGGGATGAGTCAGACCACCTTTAGCAGGGATGTAATCAGGGATGTGTCTTTCCAAGGAAAACAGGGATTTCTGAAAATGCAGGAGCATATGTTACTTTGCTTCTGCTGAATTCAGTATTTCTAGTAAGAGAGAAATTCTGCTGTAAACATGCTGACCTACAAGCAAAAAAACATCTGTAAAAAGTGATTAACCTTTTTTTTTTTTTTTCCCCCCCAATGCAGGTTGGATTGGTTGTAATACCCGATAGCACAGCTGGATCTGTTCTGTGTGCCATAAATAAGCTCTTGGATCAAGCCTGCATCCTAAATGAAAACCTGCACAAGTTCTTAGCCTCTTGTTGTTACAGTCTTTTGTACTTTCTGCTAACTTTAGACAAAGAGGATGCAGAACATGTACAGAAAAGGTAATGTTGCTCTTCTAAGCTTGTATAGAGATGTATAGCGTATAGAGATGTAGAATAAATGGACAGAAGTTTTCTTCCCCTCCTTTTTTCCTTTCTTCCTTACTCTGAAATGGCTTGGTCTCTGCCATAAAAACCACCAGCCTATAGAGATGTAGAATGAATGGACAGAAGTTTTCTTCCCCTCCTATTTTCCTTTCTTCCTTACTCTGAAATGGCATTTGGGTTTAAGAAAAGCACCTGTAAGCTTAGCTGAAATTATTTTTAAAATGTAATGGAAGCAGCTTTCATTTTAAAGCTTTTTTTAAGACAGTTGTTCTGGTTAGATGTCAGAACAGTACTGACTTGAGAAAGTCAGAATTTATACCTCAGGATTTAGATTTAACCTTTCAATTCAGTAGATAAAGAGTCATTTGTAAAGGGTTTGACCTTGTAAGTTTACCTTAAATGTTTAAGCTGTATAAAACTTCCTGGGCATCATTTTATAGACTGTCAATGCATTTGATTAAAAAAGAATTAGAAAATATAAATAAAAGATATCAGATTTTAACAAGTCTGTTTGCCTCTGTTACCAGAGGAAGCGTCTTTAAACAGTTTAAACAGGTAATTTTTTCCTTTAACTGTTCTATATTCAAAATATCATTGTTCAAAGCTCACCAAATTTTGATGTGTGTTTATCCCTAGATTCCTTCTTCATTTATACTATTTAAGGACTCGTGTATTACAAAAAACAGATTGTTGTTTTATTTCTAAGTCTTAAAGATTCATGTGTACCCGAATTATAATTAAAATAAAAATTCTTTCCCTGCTATATCAGGAGCTTTAGCAACGTATATATGTATCCTGAACCCATTTTTTTCCCCTGTGCTGAACAGAATTTTGGAATAATTTTAAGCTTAGCATTTTCTGGTCCAGATGTGCTGCCTCAACATCAATAACTTGTAAGCATAATTGTGACTTCACCATAGAAACACATTTCCTTGCACAGATGCAAAGTCACAGAAACATATTTGGAGTAAGTGCCTTTTTTTGTGCCTTCTGACACATTTTTGCACATCTCTTTCCCCTCAGGGACCTGCTGTGGGGCTCGTGTGTGTCCGCGCTCGCCCTCCTGCCCCGCTTGCTGCGGCTGATGCTGCAGAGTCTCCAAGTGAGCAGGATCTGCCGGGAGGAGCTGCCCGTGGTTGCTCAGCTGCTTCGCTTGCTCATGCAGCACGGTCAGCTCAGGAGCCATATGGTGACAAACGAATTTCTGGTGCAACAGATTATCAAGGACATCATGGTAGGGATCTTGTTGCGGTCTCGCGGAGACTACACGTGTTGTATGCCTCACTCTTACATTTAAATTATGACAAACCCTGGAAAAAAAGACATTGTAAAAAGAGTTGCAGTCGTCTTTTGCCTGGGCAGAGCAGCCTGTATCCTGGGCTGCTCTTTGAGCAGCTGAGCTCCTCACACTGAGGGGACAGTTGGGAAGTTTAGCATCCAACCCAGGGGCCCTGCACAACAATCTGCTGCAGGACAAACACCCCAGAATTGGATTGCTGCTTTCATTTGGTGCCCTGGATAACGCTGATGGCCTCAGCCGGCCTGAGGGAGAGCGGCTGCTTTTTATTTTTAAGGGCTTCTAGCCCTTTACGAGCACGAGAGGGGGTGCGTGGCTGCCCTGCTGTCCGTAGTGCTCTGCTGGTAGCAGTCTCAGGAGCGCTGCGTGAGCAGAACTCTGCTCAGTTCCATGGTTACTGACTATGGGTTGCAGAATTGGAAAGGAAGCGGCCCAGGGTAATCACAGTTAAGGTGAGGACGTCCAGTGTAACGCATATACTGCATCACGTAACGCTGACTGGCTGTACAAGCACTAATACAATGTCAGTATTGACGGGTATTAACCAGGTTTCGTTATTTAAATAAAGATGTTAGTGTATGCAGGAGAACAAGGCCGTTTTGAATCTTTGAGTGCCTGGTTAAGTATAAAAGCAAAGTCTGCACAACTCTACTGATGGTGACGTTCAGCTTTACGTTTTTCCCTTCTTCCTAGACCCTGAAGAGTGGTGACATTCAGGAGCAGTGGCTGACAGACCTCCACTACTGTTTCAACATCTACCTGGCCTCTCATTCCCAGGGCCCTGGCCCCATAAACACAGTGTATTAAAGAGGTGGAACTACATGACTGTAAAGCATTTATTTCTGTTTTGTTTTGAATAGCTGATGTTGGAACAAAGCTTGTCATTTTTTGTAAGCGAAACCCGGAATAAAGATTTTACAAAGAACTGCACCCCTCTGTCTCTCTCTCTGTCTTTAGCAAGGAAATGCAGCTGGATGGGAAGGGGTGTTACGAGGTGTGGTGGCCACAGGGAAGGGTCCGCAAGGCAAATCCAACCCTCTGGAAGCTTGAGTGCTAGCAGAGGAATTAAGAGACTTTTTTTGACTCCAAATCACCTGTCATTTCAAAGCATCATGTTAATTACAAGATTTATATTATGCAGTATGATAATGGAATACAATGGTAAAAAAAGTCAGAATGCAACATACTCAAACTAGAGCATACAAACTAGAACACACAAAAGTAGAGCATATATATATATATTTATTGTTGGTGACTTTGAAATACTTTCTGCGACATAAATATTTTGCAAAGATAGTTCCAAAATTATTTTAAAGGACTTCATTTCTTTTCCATAATGGGCCCCATTGCCTTTTGTAGAAAACAGACTCCTCTTGTACATGTATAAAAAGACAATTCTTTATTAAAAAGAAAAAAACGGTGATTATATCAAAGGATAAAAAATGCAAGCTGTGAAAAAAATTTATTTACTGAGAATTTTATATATATATTTATGTGTATATATTTAAAAATGTCTTTGACTCTCAGTAAATATACATATATATACATATATATATGTTTTCCCTGTCAACATTGCTATTTATCCCTCTAGCAATCTGTAGCAAGCTAAGACGTAACCTGTTTCTTTGGTACAAAATAGGCACACGAAGACTGTTCTTCCTTTCCTGTTAAGGCTGTGAAATACATGCATTCAATTTAGGATGGAATCTAACTGCGGTCTAACGGTTTAATCTTGAGGTCATTTTTCTTCCCCTTTGAAACTACCTTAAAGAGCACATTCTCATATTTTTGAGAATGAGGAACTTTAGGAAAGTCAAGCTACTGTCACCTTATTGTAATGCCAGTCTTATAGCTTAACTATCTATTTCCCAATGCAATTTCATCCTGGCAGTAAATAAATTGTTATATTTAAAAACTAATTTGCACACAAAATAAAATGAGTCCAACTTCCCTCGAAGTCTGCCTGGCATGTAATGTTTACATAAATACAAATGCACAAATACCACTTGTAATTTAAAAGGTTCTTACATTACAAAAAATACCAGTCGTACAGGCAGGTTTTAAGTTTTAGCCGTTCCTTTTTGCTCAATGCTTGAGTCTTCTTGATTTTGCAGAAGTGGCTGATCTCATGTTGTAGGAAAACTGCTTTGATTTTCCCATGTTCTCCAGCAGATTAACGTACTGTAGGTCGTTCACTGGAAAAGAACAGGATCATGTTGAGTTACACGGGTGTGGGGGAAGAAGAGAGTTTAATCTCCGCTGGCTTCTAGCTTTCACACACCGTGAACCTACCCCAAAAGAAGGGGCCTTTTTTCACGACACCTCACTCTTAATTAGCCGTAGATAGAGTTTTTTGCACTTGGTACATCTTAAAACGCTCCTGGAGCTGCAGCTTTGGGAGCCTGGAGTAATGGGGATTTCCTCTCAAAACCACTCGGGGTTTTTGTGCTGCCGGGTCAGCACTGCTGTGGGCTGCGTTGCCGAAGAGGTGCCAGGGACTCTGTTCAGCAACGTTTCTGCCTTCTCCCATTACTGGGAAAGGGACTGGCTCCTTTTTAGAACGTACGGGATGTTTGTGTCCATGGCTAAAGCAAATACATATTCTCTGAATTACTGGAAAGCAAAAAATGAACACAAGGTGACCATTCTCTTCATAGTTCTGCCATCTAGCCACATTTAATATTTTTATTTATTGTAGTCTATTGAAAACAATACATGTGGCTCCTTTCCCTATTTTTGCAGAGACTGGATGCCAGGGTCAGGCTAAATATTACTTTAAATCTGAACATCCGTGACAAAGACACCTTGTCATATCCAGGACCTGTTTCTTTCTAAGGCCAAGAACTCCAAAATCTCCTCCTCTGCTGCGCTGCTAAATCCACTTTCATGAAACAAAACCTGGACTTAGTGGTTTGCTGGCCCCCTGCAGAGACCCCCTGTAAACACAGCTCCACAATAAAGCTCCTTGTCATCTACCAAACTGCCCCCCCCAAAAAAAAAAAAGGAAAAAAGCAGCTATGTTGAGGTTTCAAATTCTTTTCAATGGAGTGTGCAGTGGGAGAGGCATGTATTTTAAAACACCTCACTAATGTGTGTGCGCCTTATACTTTTTCTAACTATCGTCCCTTCTCCCGCTGCCCGTTGCCTGTTCCGGCAGCTCCGCAGGCTCCGCTGCCCTCGCTGCGTTGGTGCCGCTTGTGCCAGTTCCCGCTGCAGGTTCGTTGCGGCGCTTCCCGCGCGAGCGACGGGCGCCGTAAACCCTGGGTTGCTGCCTGCGACCGCGGAGGCGCCCCCAGCGCCCCGGAGCTCCGTGAAAGCAGCCAGTGTTCGGCCGGGCTGGGCAGCGTTCCCATCGCCGTCCTGCTCGTCACCACCTCATGAGAGAAAAGGCCGCTCCGACCTCAAAGGAGAGCCTTTAATTTCAGGAGACAGGGAGGGCTGTTGTCCTGGAATTAAATGAAAAGTGCCCTGTGCTAGAGCTATTTTAACATTCAGCTTTGTGATTGCGTGAAGAGACGGGAATGAAACACCTGTCTGGTACCTCTTAATAACATACAGTTATTTCAAACGGTGGGAGGAAAAAACCCTGTCTCTTCATGAGAGCAAAAATGCACAATTCTAGCATAAATTCAAGGACGGCACTCGGTACTGCTGGATTCCTTCTAAACTTCAGAGTTTTGTAAACTAATGGGTAAAACGGGTTTTACTTTGCCTTGCAAGTTACCCTAACTGCTGGCTCAGTCAAGTACCTGCTTTTTACGAGAGCGGCAGGATTCTCCCGTGGCCCTGTCTGAGCCGCGTGTGCTGTGGCCTTGGCGCCACGGAGCAGGAGGGCCGGAGAGCTGCACGCGCCGGAAGGGCCCTCGGAGAGCCGCAGGCTCCGAGCAGGAGGCAACCCGCGTGGGAGATTCCCAGGGAGGGAATTCACTAAACAAGTAATAAGCGTGATGACAGCATGGAGGCGAACGTCATTTTTAAGCTATTCGACTAAGCTCTGCCACATGCATAAAAGTTCCTTTCTTTAATGGGTGTTTTTGAAGCCCTTCTGCATTATGCAGTATAGCCCCATCTGTCCACATGTCTTATTGGACTGTGTAGATCCTGCCAAGTTTCCACCATTTTGCATTTGCTTTAGGTTACTGAAGACGATACTGTCCTGATAGCAGTTTTATACATAATATTTCAGGTACAAACAGAACCAAGGATTTTGCAAGGTCATGGCGCCACGGTTTCTGCTATTAATGCATGCTTTCTTTAGAATAAAACTTTTCCACGTGCAGTTTTATGAAACAATTGAAGCTCTATGCGCAAGACAGGACCCCAGTATGACATTTTAGAAGACCCAGTGTGACATTTTAGCAGAAAGAAGAAAAGGCCAAATTGGATGCACATGAACATGAATTGTCTAATTAAAAAGCCTATTTTGGAGATGAGTTACTGTCTCTCTGGCCAGTAAGTGTGGATTTTCATGTCCTTGTACATGAACTCAGCTGTACGTTTCTAACCGAAATGTGTAAGTTCTGAGTGCACGTAGTAGAGAAAAAAGGAAACACTGTCATCTGTATTTCTGGTGTGCTGGTAGGAAAGTGCACATTAGAAACAGTTTCCTAGAAACAGTTCAATGAAAATGGGTATTAATTTAAGTAATTCAATATGAAGATTAAAACAAAACACTGCTCAAGTAAAGTTGTTCAAAAGTAAAGAAAGAAACAACATAAAAGCACAAGAGGTTGGCAGTAGACACATGTTTGGATGTGAGAGTCTTGAATAGACTCTTTTTTCTTCCCTAAGATGAAATTAACCTCATCTATATAAATATTGACACCTTATTTTAAGATGTGTTCTCTTACCTGAGGCCAGATGCACTTCAGAAAGTTTAAACTTTGAGGGAGGTCTTGCTGGCTGATACGCTTTGCCGTCCTGAGAACGTCCTTCATGAAACAACATGGACAGAGTTTTGTTCATCAGATGAAGACAGGGTTATACATAGTTATATAGTTATACGGTATTTAACTTCCTACAGCTTTATCTTAATCCCCAAAAGATCTTCCTGTAGGTTTACATTTACGGTGGGCAGACTCATGAGACATTCTGTATGACATGGAATTGCCACCACCCTCGCAGACCTCTACAGAAACTCTGAGTATGTCTTGCAGTGGCTCTGTAACAATATATGCTAAATGATCACCAGCTTTGTTTTTTAATCCTTTTTGACTATCATCTAAGCTACAGAGCCATGACAGAAGTGACCTACCACCTGTTAACATACATGTAGCACGTGCCCACTCCATCAGGAATCTACAGTGCTGATCTAAGTTCCCACACTAGGAACTTAAGTAAGTTTTAAAAATGTTTTTCCTCTACTATTTCCCCAAGATGTATTCCTTGGTACAGGACATGTTTGGGCATTGTGCAAAGCAGAGCAGTACTATCATGAAAAGGTAATAATGATATTAAAAAAAAAAAAAAAAAGACATTTTTCCAACAAAGAACCACTGTCTTCAAACAAAAAAGGTAGCAAACCTGAAGAACATACTCTTAAAATTATATAAAAAAAAATCAAAATGCCAAGAAGTTGTAAGCAATATTTAAGAATTCTTAACAAATCATTTATATCATTAACAATTAGATACCTCCAGAAAAATCCCAAATACAGGGAATGCTGTTAATTATAAAAGCAAAAATGTAATTCTTCTTAACCTACGGTGAAGCCCGAGCGAGGCCGGCATTACCATAGATCTGCTTTAGGATGGACTGCTTGCTCGTTTTCGTGGCCGCGCTGGCCCTGGTCGTCGCCCTCGGGTGTTTGCCGGCCGCCTCCGGCCCGGGCGGGCCGTGGCTCTGCGGTCTCCTCCAGGCCACCCGCACGCAGAGGGCGGCCGCCTCCCGCCGCCGCTCGTCCTCATCGTCCTCGCGCCGCCGCGCGGCCCCCAGCAGCCGGAACAGCTCCCGCCTCAGCCGGTAGCTGCGGAGCAGAGCACGTGTTTTACGGGGCCTGTTTTAACGCACTCCAGAGCTTTCCATGCACCAGTTCACAGGGCGAGTTACATGAGCGACAGGGAAGCCCCAACTCCCACTGATGTGCTGAGGCGCTTGGATGAGAAATGTTTGCTCTGAAGGCAAGGACAGACCCGCGTTCAGTTCTAGAGGTTAATTTCCTGCAGTTATTGCAGATTTGGCACTACAAGTAACAAAAGTTGCAGCACTGCAACATCAGCCTATCTGCTGCTTTGTAGTATACAGAAAATCTGGAAGAGACAAAAACTATATATGAACATATATTTAATATTTGTGATTCTAAGACAAACGTGAGGTTTCCACCCCCTCTGAATATCCTCCCCTCGGTGTCACCAGCCTCCACCGTCTCCCCTTCAGCTGCTCCATGTCCAGCCTTGCCACAGGTGCTGTGCTCCTGCCCGTGCTCCCGCTCCTCCTCCCAGGGACAGCTACACACCACGGGAATTTGTGGGTAATGGCACCAGCAAAAAAATGATCTTTTTTCTTGAATTAGACATTAATATTCCCCAAATTATTGGCATTTCACACTCCTAAATCAATTAACTCACTCGGACTTCGTTTCACCTTTGCACACAGTTGTGATTGGGTGTTTGTAGAGAATTTCTAGGAGATTTTTTGCAACAAGAAAATAACTATGAGCCTCTCAAGCAGGGAAGATGTAGGCAGTTATGAACGTTTTTTCCTTTAAGATTTTCCTGTAACTGACCGGTCCCATTCTAGCGAGAGAGGAAAAGGGGGAGTTTGATGCTCCATGAATCTGGGACCCCAGTCAGTGGATCTCCCACATATTTAAAGCCCGGTTTCCCTGGCACGGAGACTGTGCCTGTGCAGAGCCTGCTGGCAGCGCACGCGCACGGCAGGAAGGACCGAGGCTGCTCGACGCCAGCAGTGACCACGCTCTGCGCCCGCACGGCGGCCCCCACGGCGCACGCGGCTCCGCGCTGCAGGCTGCAGGAATTGGGATGTTCCTCTGCGGAAGGGAATGACGCGTGCTCAGGTGGGGCTGTGCCGCAGCGACGGTGACACGGAGCACCAGAGGGACGTGCGTTACAGCTGGCAGCAGCGCTCCCTGGCAGAGGAAACTACCACTATGAAATCTGCAGAGTGAGATGAACGTATTTAATCCTAGTTTAGAGAAAGAGCGAGACTTGAGCACGTATTTCATTACTTTGTAATTCTTCCATTGCTGTCTGCAGGTACCTGCTTCTGAGCAGTGAAGACTGGCCCAAACAAAAGACACTCCCAGGGCCGAGCGTGACCGAGCGCCGTACGTCAGGTACCTATTTAGTTACTATAATGAGCCGTACAGGGCATGGGCAGTCGGGCACCTCAGGGACAGCATCTGAGCACCAGTATTCGGAGCAGGGAGTCAGCGTGGACAGCAGCCTGGCAGGCGCTACCTGGAAATGTCCCTGGCTCCCTGGCAGGCAAGGGTCGTCCAACCTGGAATCCACATCCAATAATACCTGCAGCATCCCTTGTCTGAGGTATACGTAAGTGCTCTTTTACAGAAAGAGGTGGAACTCTTTTCTTTTAAAAAATAAACATTGCTCTCCTAAATGGAGGGATATGGTCAGGTTGGAGGTCAGGTGCTGTTCCTGATCCCTGCTCAGCTCCTCAGTGTTGGGCCCTGTCCTTTATGCCATTCAGAGGAAGAAGACGTGACTGTGTGTGGTCATCCTTACAACTTGATCCTTCCAGCATCTCTGGGAGAGCTCCATGAGATTATCTGCTCTTTGCACTGTCAGTGAGGTGAATTTTGACTCTTTAGCAAGTTTTGCAAGTGCATCAGCTCTTTAGCAAGTTTGATATTGTTTGCAAATTGTAGTGAAGCAAGACTGCCCTGCCCCTGCAAGACTTCCCACCTCCCCTCCTTGCTGTTATGGGAAAGAACTCAAGAGTTTCCACCTCGTGTCCTTGCCACATCAGCAGTGACCTTGCAGGTTCCAGGGTTAACTCATTGCTTGCCCATCAAGACAGTCCAACGTAGAGCTACAAAGATGATTAAGGGACTGGAACATCCATCCTATAAGGAAATGCTGATAGTCCTGCCTGAAGAAAAGAAGGCTGAGAGGTGGCTCTTCAATGTGTACAAATACCTTAAGGGAGGGTGTCAAGAAGACTGAGCCAGGCTATTTTCAGTGGTTGCCATTGACAAGACAAGAGGCAATGGCCACAAACTGAAGCACAGGAAATGCCATCTGAACCTGAGGAAAAATGTCTTGCCTGAGGGTGCCAGAGCCCTGGAACAGGCTGCCCAGAGAGGCTGTGCCGTCTCCTTCTCTGGAGATCTTCAAACCCCACCAGGACACAATCCTGTGCCCCGTGCTCCCAGTGTCCCTGCTGGAGCAGGGGGGTTGGACTCCAAAGGTCCCTTCCAACCTCAACCGTTCTGTGATTCTGTGAACTCCTTCATGAAAAGTTCTGGGAACAACAGGCTTTGCACAGACATAAGACCCTGCTTAGACAGAACTACTTGCTGTTGCAATCCTGCAGAATTTATGATCTTCCTAACTCTTCTCTACAATATTTGTAATTTTTTCAGACAGTACAAATACATTTATCTTTCTTAATTCTTTGAAAAGCATATGTAATTTAACCAATCTTCAATTTACACATTTTGCAGTGTTGTGAATCACTGAGTAACTTCTCCTGCTGCCAAGAGACCAGTCTGCACACAGAACTTTCTGCATTTCATGCTGAGATAGCCCGTACTACTATTTTAACAGATAGCTAGAATAAAAAGAAATGTATAACCCAGCCAAAACTTCAAATGGAATACAAAGAAGCCTTCTAAACAGGTAGTTGCCCAATATACCTGAAAGTTCCTATTAAATTAAATTAAATCTCAATTATTGTGAAGAAAGTTGCACAAGCACTCACTATACATCGTTACACTTTATCTGAAAGCTGTGGTCTGCTCTTACTCCTTCATGAAGATTCAGTGCTAAGTAAAAATGTAGAAAAAGAGCTGCTGGCAGACATTGAACAGTGGGAAAAATAAGTGATTTCTTTGCCTTGCTATGTACTATTGGCTTAAGGAATAATCATATATAGCAAAAGGAGACCAATGATAAAAGTACAGAAATAACTGATACTGCACCCCAAAAAGTTGAAAATTTCATTAAAAAGGGCTCTATATGAGTTAATCAGATTATATTCCAAGATTTTAACTTTTCACTGGAATAGCAATGCACTCACAAAAGTCAAACTAACTTTTACATTCCAAAAACAACAAAAAGATAAATGGTATATTGCTGGTCTGTAAATCCAATCTCATCCTGGGATATTATTTAGAGAGGTAAAAGAGCAGCCAAAGGAGCAAACAGGAAATGCCTGAGCCAGCGTGCGTGTTCCAATGGTCACATTTGAGTTGAGAAACAAAAGCCCGGCCAGCCTGGACCATGGGCTGTCTGGCCAGGTACGTCACCCCTCTAGGAATGACACCAGCCTCTGCTGCTTCAGAGGAAGGCAAAGCTTTGCCATGGTTCCTAAATTAACTGTACACAATGTAGGGTGTGAAATGCTGGTTCTCAGCCTCCGCAGTCAAGCTACCAATGTGGGGTCTTGTGCAACGAGGAACCCAGATAACGCTCCCCTGTTCAAAATTAGCAACACAGTGGATCTTCAAAGCTACTGAGCAGCACTTACCTTCTCCACGTCCTCTGTATAACAGTGGCTGCATAGTTCTTTTTCCGAAAAAGCTCTTTTCTTCTTCTTTCGTTTTCTATTACCTGCATTCGAACCTCTAAAGGGATTTGTTCAATATTTGTACTTTGCCATGTGACAGAAGAACATAATTGATCATCCGCATTCCTGGGCCCAATTACCTCTGTTTTGTCCAAGTTCAAACTGTCATCACAAACAGAACATGCTGATGGATTTCTTGGCACAGTTCTTGTAGATTCTTCCATGGCAGACAATGAAGGACAGTTCTTTTTTGCTAATTCATTATTTCCCACATTGTTAGTTTGTTCTACAGCATGTACACTGTCATTTCTAGTATTTACAGATACCATTTTGGCGCTTCCTGGTCTACTAGAGCCAGCTGGTGAACATCTCTCATGATTTACCTCTTTATTTCTTGATTTCTGATTATGCCTTCTGCCTTTTGAAACCATTTCGTGCTGTCTCAAATTTCTTGCAATTCCACCAGCACAGCTGGTGTTGCACAAGATTACAGCAGTTCTTTTGCAACAGTCCCCGTTAGCAGATGAAGACTGACCTGGAACTCTTGATTTTTCCCCAACACTAGTGACTGTACAAGTAGAAGTATTCTTTCCATTCCTCTGAGCAGAAGTATTTGCCTCAGTGGTGTAGTCATGATGCTTTTCTCTATCCAGCTCTGCAGCTGCTGCAACTTGATGCTTCACTTCACTTTTTCTTCCTTCATTTTCTTTGCCATGGTGGAAATGGACACAAGCTGACTTGTTTTTGGTGTGTTTTCTCAATAATTCCTTAGCTAGAGAAATAGAAAGAAACACAATTCCATCACAACAGAACTTATTTATCTATTTTTTGGTGTTTTTCTTTGCTCAGTCATCTTTTGAGTCACTTTCACACTTACTCTCAAATTGGAAAACAGAATAGACCCAAACAAACACCTTCATGTGCTTACCACTCTACCAAGCCTTCTCTCACCCACTGAGTCAGGTACCTAAAAAAACCTCACATGGAGAAAACTAAGTCTTCACTCACTTTGATACATGGGTTTTCTCCAAAGAAACTAGCCTACCACGTGGCAAAATGAGGCAGTCCTATTAACACACCTGTATGCTCAACTGCTGGAACAGTGATAAACTGTCACTGCTTCAGGCTGATTTGCTTCTTTGCTTTGAAAGCTAAACTTCTGCTCTGTCCACATCATATTCTAATGCATAATAACCTATTTCTAGAAGCATAGTGTAATCTGCTGACCCAGGAAACCCCTGGTTTCTCAGAACTTGCCTTGACATCCTAAATCAAACTAGAAAGTCCTTCACAGTTTTCCCTAGCTGCGAGTTCTCTTTTTCCAGGTTCCAGGCCCAGGGGGACAGAAAGTCACTTACTTAGAAGTGATAACTTCTAAAGGTATTCTGATAGTAATGACTTGGAAGCCACACTGGAATGCAAGCTTGAAAATCTCCAACTACTATGCACAATGTCTCTTTTGTTAGAAGGAACAGGAGAATGAGCAAACAGGACAGGGAGGGGCCAACTGTAATATGCAGACAGAGTGCTAAAGGATAATAATAATAATAATAATAAAATAAAAGAGGAGAAGAAACTCTAAGTATTCTAGAACATCTTCTAAATGCTGAAATAGATATGAAAACCAATCTGTATGTTACAACTACAGAGCACAAAAAAGAAAGAACTCTGTTGCTACTACAATTAAGGCAACTCTGCAGTTGCAAATGAGTTAACACATATAGGATTTATGGTGGAAAACAGAAGATCAGGATAGAGTCTCCAAATTCTACATTTCTCATACACTATTACCAGGTACAATTGCTGAAAATCTTTCTGAAGAGCCAGCCCACAGGATCTAAATTTATATTTAATTCATATATGGCTCCCAGTGAAGTCCACTGATGTGGACTGGATAGAATTTCCTGTGCCTGCAGTGAAGTACAGCATAGACAACTGATCATAAATGTGGGTACCTTTTCTCCTTACTCATCAATACCCCCTGCTATGCTCACTGCAGACATTCATCCTTCATTTGGGTCCACTTTTTCTAATTATTCTTATTCTTTAAGTGTTTTACAGCTATGTATTCTGATTAGCATAAGGTTATTTACCACATATGCAGATAAAGTTTGCTAGTATTTTTAAAATGTCTAGCATAGTTTTGGCTAGGATATATGTCTTCTTTTACTACAAACATAGAGTCAAGTGTTCTGTTTAACATAACATTTCCATGTGAAAGGTAAAGAAGGCAGAAATAGATCTTTCACCTTCTTTTCTTTTATATTAATATAATTTTCCAAGCAGTCAGAGAAACCTTGGAGGAGTTCTTGCAACTTCCCTTAAGCACACAATTTACTCAATTTTTACTAATGATAACAAAGATGTAAGTAAGTCATAAACACCCATAAATTTGCTCACACCAGAACTGACTGAAATGTCACAAAACTAACCTCAGAGTGGTCAAAACACTGATAAAAACTGATGCTGCATTTACAGATGGAGAAAGTAAAAGTGCAGAGCAGGGCAAGAAAAGTAACTAAAGGAGGAGTTTACATACACTGTTCGTAGCCCAATTTCTATGAACAGTCTCACTACTCAAAAAGGATCCTGGAGGGTTCTCAACCTCCAGAGACAACAAAAGACAAATCATAGGAGGAGCCTATCATAGAGAATGACGTTGCCTGCCCTTTGTATGCTAGAGATGTCACTCTGCACAATTTTACCTCTTTGTTGAAAAAGAGGAGTTACAATTTCTTAATTTCTTAATTAAGGAATCCCACAGATAGGTCAAACATCTCGAAACTCCTTTCCTCCAAACACAGCATCTAACAGAACAACTCCAAGCAACCTGTCCCGTTATTACAGATATTTTATCTACTGGTATTTTTGACTACTGAAATTGACAGACTAAAAGAATTCTTATGTAACTTTAGCCTGTATGAATAGGTTAAATAATGAAAGAATAAGAAATGGTGGAAAAGAGAAGAATAAGTCATACACACTGATTAGTAGGCCAATGAAATGATGACCAACCTTGCCTGTTTTTATGACCTTCACTCTGATGCTCTGCAGACAGGCAAGTCTCCTTTGGTGTCCCTTTGCTGCGACAAGCCTTAGGTGAATCTCCACTGCTTCTCCCCGACGAGTTTGGAGAAGCGTTGCAGGAGGGAAGTCTGTTACTCTGCATGTCACTTTGTTTACTAGGCAACTGCGTGGCACTGGTGGTCTTCCCTTGATTTCCAGAATTCTGTTGCACTCCAAACTTATTTTGCTCCAAGTTCTGCATTCCTTTTTGCAGCTTGGCTTCTTTTCTCTTAGTTTCTTCTTCACGTTTCCTGTAATGGAAGACAATATATTAATAATAACTCTAAGGACAAAATCTTAGCAGCATGTATCTGACTTGAACACATTAATCTCTAGAAACCTGACAGCACCAAATAAAAGTGACTACGACATCTAGCATGAAAACAAGGCATATATTAAGTCAAAGTGTCTTAATGTGATCAAAAATAACAACTGACTTGGAGCTACACCTTAGGAAGGTTAAGTTCTTATAAGCCAGGTTCCCATTCATTTTGAAACAGTTTTATGAACTGTTTTTAAAACAATGCCTTATTTAAAACAATGAAACTTTCTTTTTATTATGAAATATTTAATACAAACAATTCCAAACTAGATTTAAAAATGGCTATTCTTTTTTGCTGCTATAACTTTTATCACTGATGAGCTTTTTTTTGCATAAACTCATTACGCATTATACAAATAATAAACAAGGAAAAGACGACACATGAATTAAGAAGCTTTGTGCATAAATCTTGCCATTACAGTTATGACATTTTGGTTTTGAAAACTGAAAAAAGTCAGGCATTTTAATAAGAGAATTTTGGAAAACTGTGAAAGGTGCCTAGGTGGAAGAAAGGTACATAGCTTATTTTGAAATACAATGAGATGTCATTGTATTGTAAACTCTTTTTCCAGCAAAGCAGAATAAGCTCAATAAGAAGTAGCCAACTTTACCTAACAATGTATGTACCATTCAATTTTTTTTGATAAATTAAGCTCCAGCTAGTTAGAAAATGAAGTGACATTTTTCCTGTCAGAATGGACAGGTGGTATATGTCGTATCACGTAGCTGCCTGATATTTTAACCTGCTTGCGACGCCGCGGCGCTGTCCGCAGACTGCTGACACATAAGCTCACAGCACAGGGTATGACAGGTTAGTTGTGCCGATGCCACCCGCAGTTCCTGTGCGTCCTATCAATGCCAGCACATGTCACTTCAGGGGGATCCGCTAGGGAGAAGCCTTAACTTTATCTGTCACTGCTACCTTATCAAGTATGCTCTGCAGTAGCTCGTTGAACTTGGCATCTAAAAAGCTGCTAAGTGCACTCTTGGTAGTCTGAAGCTCAGTGTTCCCTCTGACACAGAAAAAAAAAAGTGGCTAGTTTCAAATAAAACTGGCATTTCACAAAGACACTATGTGGGGGTGTCTCTCATGTATAGTATAGGGGTCACTTCCATTACTCTGCTGTTTGATCCCTAAGCTAGACCCTACTACTCATAGAACCTTTTCTTTTCTTTGCAAGAATCAAGCAGCCTACTACCAGCCTCCCCCACTCAGGATATCAGAAAGGAAAGTGTGAGAGACAGGCAATATACAGGGAAATCAGAGCAGCCTGCTCTCTTTGGACTTGCAGATTAACTCACAACTTCAGCAACATACCAATTACAGAGCTACTGAAGCGGTGTGGGACTGGGGCAGGAGAAGTTGTTAAAGGGAATTTTTTAAAGGTCTTTTTTTGGTGTGATAATTCTTCAGATTTACTGAAATTTTTCAGTTTTACTGCGGTCTAAGTTGAGACACTAGCTCTCACAAACAGGTAAAGGAAGTAAGTTCCCAAGAAAAGGGCTGTGATCTCTCTCAGGAGGTTCTCCTGACTCAACAAATTTGGCTCTGATTTGGTTAGTGATAATACGCCAATATGCCAAGATAAACTGTCCTCCTCTGTGAAGGACATCTTCATTTTAGGATTGCACTTAAGAAACACTCCACATATATAAACTACTCCTTTACAAGGAGGGCTCTGCAAGTCTCCTCTCAACATCTGGCACCCTTTGCTTTCCAAACCACTCCACCACTCCCTAACTTGACTTGACTGCCACATGCCTCCTCTGCGGTTCCTCATATAAGGCTCTCCTCCCTGCATTGGCCAGCCAACTTGGCAAAGATGCTTTTGCACCACTTTTTGTCAGCTGGATCCTCTCTCTTCCCCAGCAGTTTTGGATTCTCATAGAGGGTCTCGTGGTTGCAAAAGCCAAACCCCTGTCATCAACAGCAACTGCACATCCAGGTGTGGACCTCCAGAACCCATCTGCTCCTTAACATGCTCTTCCCTTTCACGAGCAGGATCAAGGAGATCACAAGGTCGGAACCCCCATGCCCTTCACCCTCAGTCCCAGCGTGACAACATACTCTTGGTACACTCATAGGCCCCCTTGGCAGGAGTTTTCACTTTGAATGTTCCCTTTTTGCTTCTTGCTCAGTGGCATGACAGCACTGCCTGTTGTGTTGGCAGAGCCCAGTTTTTATCTTATAAAATACCATTTCTTTGGTATTGGATGGTTCAACGTGGTTGCTTTTTCTGCAGATATTTCACAGACCATGAGAACAGTGACTTTATCAGTTGATAATACAGGTAGAGGGTGATGGTTACCTTTTATTTTAGAGCACAAGCTGTTTCAAAATATTCAGATTTAGGGAGGATTTATGTAAGTGAGATTTTTCATATTAACATACTACAAAGTAAGTAAGTTTTAAGTACATACACTGAAATTTGTTTCTTGTTTTTTTTTTCAGTCTAAGAGTTGAGCATCATTCAGGATTCCCACATCATGTCTACTATTATCAGGACAGCTTATTTTTTAAAATCAGTAGCAATATTAGCCATTTTTATGTAGGAATTCTCTAGCCAAGTTTAACTGTAGAAGGCACAGATGGGTATGCAGAATGGTGACATCATTGTGTCCCCTCCAGTTTATGTCAGAGTATGAAATTATCATTAAATAAAACTTGTTATGTGACAACTTGATTTGCTTGTACATTCTTGTCATCTTTTAATTCTGTTTCGGTACTTAATTCTGTATTTGATACTTTGTTTCTATTGTTTTCAAACAAATCAACAACAGCCACCACAGTAAGTTTTAGAGTGTGCATTAAAAACTCACAAAGGGAAATGATGATAAAAACACCTCAATATGTCCATGATGCAATCCCTTTTCATTAAATTTTCTAGATGGGTTCTTACAGATTCACAGATTCTTCTAAAAATGACTGTCATAACAAAGCAGAAAATTACCTCATTTATTTAGTAAAGTCAGTTGTGATGACAGAGCAAGAGAGAGCTGCAAATTACAGCTTCAGGATCTAGGGGCATAAGCATCGGTTCTTACTGGGCTTTAACAATTACTAATCAGCATAGTAGTAGCATTCAAACCCAAAGCAGGCCAATCTGGCAAGTTATGAATTAATGAATTAATGAATACGAAGTATGGCAGATTGCAGCTGGCTTTGTCCATGATAAGGGATACAACAAGAACAACAAAACATAATCCCAGTAATTATGTTCTGTGTTAATTCATATGACCTCCCTTTACAAAAATGATCAGGGGATCACAAAACGGTTGAGGTTGGAAAAGGCCTCTCTAGATCACTTAGTCCCAACGCCTGCCTGAGCAGGGTCATGTTGAGCAGCTTGCCCAGAAGCCTCCTCAGACTCCACAACACCTCTGGGCAACCTGTTCCAGTCCTCAGTCACTTCCAAAATAAAGAAGCTATTCTGACATATTCAGATGGAACCTCCTGAGTTCCAGTTTGTGCCCACTACCTCTCAGTGGGCACCACAGAAAAGAGTCTGACCCCATCTTGTTCATACCCTCCCTTCAGATACTTAGACAGGTTCATAGCTTCAGTCCACATATTTCTGGGTTATATTAGACCTTGCACTCTCTGTATGTGTGCAGAAAGAACCCGGTCAGAGAGTACTGGACTCTTTCTTACACAATGATCTTATACACCCATTGGCCTTCCCTGAAACAAGGGCACATAGCTGGCTCATGGTCAACTTGTTGCCTACCAGGACTTCCAAGGTCTTCTCTGCAAGAGCTGCTTGCCAGCAGGTCCACTCCCAGCCTGTGCTGGTGCACAGGGTTATTCCTCCCTAGAGCAAGATCATGCACTTGCCTTTGCTGAGCCTCAAGAGGTTCCTCTCCACCCAGCTGTCCAGCCTGTCCAGGTCTCTCTGAAAAGCTGCACAGCCCACCGGGTTATCAGCCACATCTCCCACTTGTGGATCATCTTGCTTGCTGATCAAGATCATCAAGCTTGCTGAGGGTGCACTCTGTCCCTTCATCCGGGGCACTGATTAATAACTTGAACAGGATTGGACCCTATACTGACCCCTGGGGCACCTCTAGCTACAGGCCTCCAACCAGACTGACCCATTAATCACCACCCTCTGACCTTGGACATTCAGTCAATTTTCAATCCACCTCACTGTGGTTCTGCTTAGGTAGCCCATACAACCTCTGCTTGTTATGTTATGGGAGACAGTACCAAAAGCCTTGCTGAAGTCAAGGCAGACAACATCCACCACTCTTCCCTCATCTACCCAGCCAGTTGCTCCATCAGAGAAGGCTATCAGGTTGGTTAAGCATGATTTCCCCTTGGTGACTCCATGCTGACTACTCCAGATCATCTTCTTTTCCTCCATGTGCTTAGGGATAACATCCAGGATGAGTTGTTTCATCACCTTTCCAGGAATACTACACCGTCATGCAGCAATCTTTTCAGATTATGCTTTTCATTCCAGAATCACATTTCTTCAAGGGATACCAAGTGCTAATTCATTCCTTTTTTTTTCATAATATGGACCTTCAGGTTAGAAACCAAGCAATGGAAGTATTTTGATTATTTATGTAATTTCTGATTACGTAATTTCAACACTTTGTTTCCATTACGTCAATTAAATAGCAGAGAAGCTCAATTGCAACCTTCACTTCTGACAAATAATTATGTGAATTGCATAAATTCATTATCTATTATCTAATATAGTGATTTCATAGTAACATTTTCATTCAAAAGCAGAAAATCTAATTGCAATATATAATACTTCCAAGACAAAATTTGCAAATGAAATCTAAAAGGTTTAGTTTGCAAAAAAGCACAGTCTCCCCTACTAAACAAAGTTGGCTAAGCCTTATCAAACAGTGCTCTTCTACCTCCATTTTCTCATTCATTTAATTGCTAATTTCTTTTAAAACTGGTATCACAGACTCACTAGCCCAATAATTATAATTTCCTTAGAGTTGTAAATGTTTTCCAAACCCTTTTATCATAATTCAAAATTTCATCTAAATTCATGAAGGGTAACATAGCAGTTTCTCAGTCTTTTGTATTTTGCCTTGTTTTTGTTATTTAATTTGGGATTATCTGCAAAATAAGTCCCGTTTATGGTAGTCCAGATAAAATTCCATTATATGCTCAGTTTTTGAATTTTACTAAGAGGAACAATAAGTAATAATGAGAAACAGATAAAATTATAAACTGACATATATAAATGTATATGTGTATTTTCTTAAACTAAATTTCAAGTCTTCAGACTTACTTGGCAGCTGCATCTTTTCTCAGCTGTTCATGTTTCATTAAAAGATTCTTCCTCTCTTGAAAAGCTTTTCTAACTTTGTATCCTTTATAGATGGCCTGAATTTTGAAAGCAGCAATGTCCTGTATGGCAGCTATAGAGAGAGCCCCATGTTCTAACATGAACTGAATCACCTCATGGTGTTCCCCAAGCAAGGCATAATCAAGGGGAGTATATCTAAAAAAGAGAACATAACAGTTATCATTGAGTAAGATTCCTAATCATAACATGCATTTACTTAAGGACATTCACCTTAATTTCATAACAAGGCAACCTCTAATATTAAACTGCTTAAACACTTTCTTTTGGTAGATCATTTTTTGTAGTTTTTAATATTATTTTTCTTACTCATCTAAATCTAATCTTACTAACCTGAGTACCATGACTATATTTAAGGCACATTTTAGTCTCCTAATATGGAATATGGGGGCTAAACATTATGCAGTAACGAATGAAAATCCTCCAAAGTTTTATCTATAAAAGCAACTTATTTAAGCAAGCAATCTTGAAAAAGTTATTAAAGCTGTTGTATAAAAATATAATGTAAGTGAAAAGCAAGGAATATGTTTTTTGTGTTATTTCCAGATGCGTGTTTCCATATGTGTCTAACTTGTAAAAGTCTGGCATAGCTTCTATGTTAAAAGCATGTTTTATGGGTTAACTCTAAAGTTAATTAAAAGTATTTGTTGGGTGACCACCGCATGAGCAAGACAATTACATAATTCAGTAAGCAGACAGAAGAAAAAAAGAACAGAAAGATGTACCAAGGACAGAATTTAGACATATTGATAGAGCATGGCAAAATGACTAACAGTAGTATGACTGAACAAACAGTAACATTAAAACTGCATTAAGAGATAATATGGAAAAGGAAAAGGAAAAGGAAAAGGAAAAGGAAAAGGAAAAGGAAAAGGAAAAGGAAAAGGAAAAGGAAAGAGAAGGGAAGAGGAGGGGAGGGGAGGAAATATTATATCTATTAAAATTGACAAAGGAATAGAACTATGAAGTGCCTTGGCTTTTAAAAGGGATATAGGCATTAAAGTTGCTTAAGCACTTTTGAAAAATAAAATACCCTAAATTTCCACTGTTATTAAAGAGGAACAAAATTTACATACCTCCTGCAGCATCAACAAAACTATGCAAAAACATTTATTGACTGAAAAATGTCAGTCACAAACCAAAAATGGAGCTCGTAGAGTTCATCACATCAGACAGCCAGTGTCTCTACGTTACTGTGAAAAGCAAGCCTCTTCTTGACAGTGACTAGCTAAGACGCAAGGCTGGTGAGCAAAGAAAGACAGGAAGAGCACAGTTGGACTTGCCATGCAGTGATGATTTAATGGGAGGATTAAGAGCATCGGAACTGAAGTGTCAACACGAATAAAGATAACCACATAACATGAAAATTGGTATGTCAAGATGTGTTGCTGATACAAACACAGCTTTCAGATAACCCAGGAACAGCTACGTCAGAAGGGAACCCATCTGAGAAAAATACTTTTTATAAAGTATACCTACAGTTTTTAATTTTTCAATTAATAGACACAAAAGATACTGAAGTAAATTTTATGCAGCTAGCATAAATATATACCAAGAAAATGGGGATTTGAATCATGTGGCCCACTATCCTTATACATGGATCCACAGACTCCATAAGAACTACCTCTGAAAATTAAAAAAATCCCTCAATTAAATCTGAATAGGGGTTTGTAAGGCAAGCACTCAGCATAAAAAACTAGATGATATCTCAGCTCTATCCTTCCACAAGCCTGTCCATTTGACTTGAATTTTGAACTAAAACCTCATATAGCACTCAAAGAACATGGAGAGCAGAAACATATTTCTACAGGCATATCAGAATTTTTTTTCATATTAGTGAAACTATTACTGAGTTACAAAAGCAATTTCGTGATTATGGCTGAGCCATATCCATGAGGTTATTTTTACTGTCTCTTACACCACTTTCTTTTTCACTTTCCAAATTTCTGATCTCTTAACAAGAAAACAAGGTGGCAATAATATATATTTTAGGCCATTATATTTAAAAAGTGTTTACCCTAGAACTTCTAGGAATCTGCTAATTGTGCTTGGAATAATCTAGATTTATACATCACAATTTATATTAATGCTAGTAGGGACACCAACTGCAGATACTAACTGAATGATTATAATATTAACACAACAAAGGTCTTTACCTGACATCTGAGCATCATTAGCACATTTTTATAAAATAAGGAAAATAACAGCCTCCTTCCTATCAAAATAGCTGCTTGTAATCTTACTTACTAAAAGGAATTTTATTACAATTGATTATTTAATTTTCTACTGAAAATTACTGAATAGAACATTCCAACTACTTAATTAGGAACTACTTATTACTTTCATTTGTGTTCCTCAAAAAAATAGGACAAGAAATCTGAATTATTAGAATAGAAAACAAAGGAAAAATGATAGGGGAAAGTATGCAATTTAAAAAGTGGAATATCGGTCCCATACATAGCACTAAAATATAGGGGTTCACAGTATTTTAATTATTTAAAAAGTTGAAATATTCCAATTTATGAGGCATACTGATCAAAAGTTTATGTACAATTATTAGGACGTCATCTAGTCTAAAATGGCATTATAAATTTATGCTAATACTAATTATCTTCATGTTCAGTGGACTAATTTAAGCTCCATTATCCAAATGACTTTCTAAAATTATTATTTATTTATCAATGAAAGATGATGCAAATAAAAACACAAAGCATAAAAAAAAAGAAAAAAATGTGCAAATACACTATATCTTCATGACTCTTTTTCTTTTTTTTAATAGGCCTTTAGAATACACAAACCACCAGGTCATTTGTGATCACTATTTTGAATCATAACTTCATATTTATTCCATCTTTGTTCATCTCGCTGTGTCCCTACCAAAAGGAAGAGGAGCAGAAATCCTATTTTATCCTTTCATCAGATGTTTCCATCCTCAGTTTCATATAAATGAAAAATATCCTTAATATTTTAAATAGAATGGGATTAGATTATAAGTATCCCTGTGTAAGCATCTGAAGTGAGTAGCATGCATAAGTAGTCCCTGCAAGTTTGAAGTTCAAAAGTATAAAGAGTGGAAGGTCAAATCTGTGATATCTTGTTTCAAGAAGAGAGATTTTCAAATGGGAAAAACTGCCTTCAATGATGCTGTGGCAATATCTGAACACCTAACACTTAAATCAGCTGCTGGAACCTTTGTTAAGTTAGAAAGCCATGCAATCAGATGAACAATACCTCTCCTCACTGTTCTCCATATGATTAGGGAAAGCATCAAAACCAAGCAGCAACTTAATAGCATCAAGGTAGCCATTGTTACACAACCAGTGTAAAGCAGTTCTTCCCTGTAAGCAATAAAACAGACAAAAAATGAAAATTAGTCCCAAACTCTATCATGACAGACTAAAAGTTGCAAATCATACTGTGTAATTCAAAGCTTTTCTGGACATGAAGAACAAATAAATAAACATTCTTGTCAAAAGGAAAGAATACAGCATTTTAAAAATGAAGTGTTTTTTATTTGTTTGTTTGCTTGAAGTAGGCTTTATAACACTAGTTCTGTTTCATCTAAAGCCAAGAGAAAAACAGCATTAAGAAGCAAGCTCTAAAGTTGCTTTCTTCATAGCTGAGCTACTGATCTGAAGCAGCTATCATTAAGTTTTGTAGTTCATGCTGCTTTCTAGGCATATCCAAGACACTGTGATGACTATGAGAGAATTGCTATGGAATCAAACCTTGCAATATTTTTTTTTCTCAGACTGAAGACTATAAAACAACATTCCTGTGTCAAGTGTTAGTAAGGAATAAAGATGTTAAAAAGTATGATGCTTAAAATGACTGCTCATTCACAATTTGATAAGGAAAAGCCAGAGGTGATACGGAATATTGTACATGTTCAATTCATGTTGTATATTAAAATGCTAACTTCCATTGAAGATTTTAGAAGTGAAGCCAAGGGGAAAGTTACATCTGTATTTCGAATATGAAATGTATTTCATTTCATAAACAACTGTAGCAGGGACGCCATATATCCCAGAAAAATGAATGATCTTTTAAGAAAAGGAAAATATTTTGATTTATGCTTACACTGAAGTTATTTCATGCAATAGCCCAGTGAAAGACAACATACCTCTTTATCCTGAATATTTGGATCTGCATTGTTTTCCAGTAACACTACCATGCAGTTAATATAACCTCCGTATGCAGCACACTGCAGAGGTGTTCTACCTGCATAATCCTGCACATTAGGGTTGATTTTATTTTCTATCAAGATTTGGCACACATCAGCATTTCCTCCCAGGGCTGCCCAGTGAAGGGGCGAATGGCCATCTTGGTCAACTAAATCTACTCTTGCTCCTCCTGTAACAACAAATAAATTTTTTGAACAAAAAAAATATTGATGAATGAAAAAGAAAGTTAGGAGTAAGTTTATGTTAAAATGGAACTTGTTTAGAAAACTAGCAGTCCAGAGTAACTTCAGCACCTAACTAACTCCAGTTTTTATAATAGAGAATGAAGCAGTTTCGGTGAGGGTCAGGCATCTAACTTCTTTCCATGCTAAATATCCTGTCAGGTGCTTTTGAAGCTCCAGGTTGGTCAAATGCCCTTGAAAATCTAGCCTTTATTTATTTTGGACCTATTAATGTCCAATGAAATGTAATTTTCTTAATGGCCAAAATTATTTCACAGTCCCACACGAAGAAACATCAGAATTCTGAACAGGTTGGTAGATTGGTAGCAGCTGACCTTTAATGAGTGTTTGGATCACTTCTTTGTGTCCCATCTCACAGGCTCGGAAAAGCGGAGTGTGTTTCATGACATCCAAAGCATCGACCTGTGCATTGTGTTCCAACAGCAATTTCACTGTATTGACATGGCCAGAAAGTGCAGCAGCATGTAATGCTAAAAGAGTAAAGTAGTAGGAAAAAGAAAGCATTCAGGAATGACATTTGACATGAGTTTTAGAGTTTGACGATTAGAATGGTGAAAATAAAAATTAATCTAAAATTTCTAAGCTGATTTTCAACCATAGGAAAATTGAGGAAATTGAAGAATCGTAACAAGTAATAGCCTATCACAACACTTATTTACAAGCAAAAGAGCAGAAAAAATGTTAGCTCTGAAATATCTTTTAACTTGTACCAACTGGAACCTGAATCTTAACAAGAGCAACAATAGTTTATACTGAGAATCTTTTTTTGGGGGGTGGAAGGAAGGATATCATCCTCTACGTAAGAGTACACAGGATGTTCTACTTCTTTTCTGCAGCATTTATTATATCACCATAAGAGTACACAGGATGTTCTACTTCTGTCTCTTTTCTGCAGCATTTATTATATCACCCCAGTAGAAACAAAACAGCCCCACTGCCTACTGAAACTGCCAGTGAAATAAAGCCTTCATTATTTCTCCAAATTTTCCCTGAAAATTAATAGGTTTTTTTTCAAATAAGTAAAGTTGTCTCAATTAAAACTAACTCCAGGTAGCCACTCAGATGTTTTCCCTCTTTTTTGAGAATTATTTTGGAAAAAAAATACATAAAACTGTCTAAAAAGGACATCACACATCATAGAGTATCTGCAGCTCCCTGTTTCCTTCATGTAAGGGAAGATGATGCACAAAGCAGATACTCATTTCCCCTCATCCATACTATTTATGAAATTCATTTGCATGAAAATCATGCAAGTTGATTCTTCCATTTTTTTGTGTCTTCTGATTCTTCAATCTATATAGAATCTCTGAAGTCTAAATAACCCAGTGACAGAGCAAGAGCTTGGCAGAGTAAAACCTCGAAGTGTCCTAGAACTGAAGTTACTATCAGCTACAACTGCATCCTGCTGGTGGTATCAGCTAGAGTTGAGGACAAGATTGAAATGGTAGTACAAGCACTGCAGGGTTGTTTCTGAAGGAAAGGCAAGCAACGTATGACAGTGACACTTCAAACAAGCGGAAAGCACATATTTTCTAGATTTCACTTAAAACGAAATCAAAGTGCTTTTGATTATTTGTTGTAATCAGAAATGAATCAGATTATCCACATTCTCATAATGTATCACATTACATCTAAACGATTTCATAAATGACAAACAACTTAGAATAAATATACAAAAATGTACAGTTTTATAAATGCACATTTAGTAGAGTAAAATTCATGTTTCCTCTACAAATTTCACACATATCCATCACTGCTGAGAATTCCACCTGCTCAAGCAAGCAAAATCTGGGGCTTTAAACAGTACCTACATGTTTCTATTAGTTTATTGTTAAAAACAAGACAAGGTGAGGATCTAATGGAGACATTATACAGAATGGCCAACACTAAAACGAACTGCCTCTTGAACTCAATGCACATTTTTTTTTGTATGCGCTTGCCACTGTTAAACGCTGTTGCTCCTTCATCCTGCTGATAAAACAGTAACCCAGTGTAACCTGTTACGCAGTTCCTACTAAAAGGCATAGTTGTTTGCACAGTCAGTGAATCAAATCCAGCTGAAGTCTGTTGCCTAAAATCACACATTCTCCAACTTAGTGATAATAATTTTGTGATAGAGAAAGAAGAGGAACTTACTTACTGCAAGGAAAAGGGTCATACCAGAGTCATTATGGGAGTTGCTGCATTAATAATTGAAATCATCCATTTAAGATGATATTAATATTAATCTGCTGTAAAATATCTCTTGTAAAATATCAGTAAGCACCCATATCTGTACTAGCAATGTGGGTAGGTGGCTATAAGTAGCAATGGGCCTGATTTTCAGGCTCTGACCTCACAATAAACCTTAGGTTCTGGTTTTTGTACTGCATTTCTTATGAAACCAAAGGCAGTAAACCACTCAATCAGACAGCACATGGGGTGTGTGTAACAATACAATAGAGAAAGAGCTGCTGTGTCAGCTTGGCCTGGTTCTTCCCCTCTATCACTCATTCTGACGCAGGCATCTTGTTTCGCACTTTGTGCTCAATATTGTCCTGTAAGCCAAATGCTCTGTGATGGAGTCACGGTGACTGAAGAGATTTCTTTGGCCAGCTGGGCACAATGGGGGCTTTGTTCGCCCGGCAGCCGGGGCCCTCGCCATTGTGCGCGGTGACGGCAGAGCCATAAAGCTGCCCCTGTAATGCTCCTGCAGCGCCGGCTCTGCGAACAGTCACATTCCTTTCCCTTGGTGTCATTTGCCTACACAATGAGGAGAGGCTTGATGTTCTATCAAAGCTCTCAGCTGAAGGCAGAGCTCGCTCTTTTTATGTAAATGTAAAATGCAACTTTATAAGTAAGCTTAACTGAGCCCACACGCAAAAGCAAAACCCCACAGATTTAGTCTCCGCAGCAACTGTATCCCAGGTCCAGTGGCATGTACACAACCTTCAACCACTCCACAGCTTCCCATTAAAATACAACGCTACTTTTCCCTCACCAAAACTCAAGAATGATTAAGAATCTGTAGAAAAAAACACCAGGTATGAAATCAGAAAGTGATTTATTGGTGGACTTCCATTTAACTTGGCAGCTCACTGTGATAAAAGCATACGGTACTGTACATGCTTGCAAAAGGGTAAAATTCAGATCATTTGACAGCAAGTAAAGTACAGCAAGATTCTGAACTTAGTACTGTCAGGATGTTCTGCTCAATGACAACTTCATGTAAATGGCAGATCCATTAATTACCTTGGACTAAAAGCCTCAAAGAAAAATCAAGATTAGAAAGTATTACACATGATTGCTTTGAAAGGTTTAAAACTAAAGGATGATAAAACAAACCACCTCAATTATTTAAGCATGAAATATTCACCTGAGTAATTTGCAAAACATAACACATGAGTACTACCTACATGGAAGAAATCCTTTCCTAAGGAGCTTTAATAAGCACAGTGACAACATAACACTGCCTCACCTTAGAGTCTGGCACACACACTGCATGGGATTTGAAAAGGAACTGTCAGCAGGGAGCAAATGTAGGCAAGTGATAAAAGACGAAACAAGACTAAAATGGAGCAGGATACCACTTCTGAAGCACAAGACTTATTTTGTCACGTAATATTTTAATTAAAAAATAGAAACTATCTCGACTTGAAAAGCCTAATTTTTGGTATGTTAACTTGTAAGTAAAGCAAAATATTACACTTGTAAATAGAATTTTATAAAAACTGTAATTGACTTTTTAAGTAAAGACACCCATGCACAAAAGGAGGTAGCAATTTTAAGTTGCAAGTAGTATTCATATTTGCTGTCTTTCAACACTGAACTATGCAGCCCTGATATTGCATTCATTTACCATTTCTATGTAACTCTAATAATAGAATCAAAGCCGTAAGTGTGACCTGAAAAGAAAAAAGGCTATAGTATAGCATTATCTATATTACACATAAAGGCTTGTTCCTGGCATAAACTATCCATCATGGGTAGTTCATATTTAAGGAAAAGTATCACCTGCTAGGGGCAGGACACACGTGAGCACACGCATCATCATTCTCTTCGACAAAGGGATGACTAACGACTTGGGGGTTTTCAAGCATAAGCTTTTGTTTAGACAAAAGAAAAGCAATAGCTCTCATCTCTATTACACTACCTCTGTAAGTAGCCATTCTACTTCTGATTTTCATGTTGATGATTCAGCCACTTCATTGGTTAGTTTGCTCTATATCGTTCAAAGTTATTTTTTACCTACAAATAAAGATTTTTTAAAAGCATTTTCATGGAGGGCTTTTTATTGTAATTATATCTCATTTTATTCTTCAAAATATGGAATAGCTCTTCATTTCCCAGGATTATAGATACACTAAACGTGTCTCCCCTGATTCAAACGAATCAGTTTAATTTGCACAAAATAGATTTGTTTTCTCCCACAATAAAGCAATGAAGTATTAGTGAATGTATACATACAACGAAGTATACATACAAATGAATGTATAAGGATTTTCTGAACTAAGGCACAAGTCTAGGAAAAGACTAATAAGGATTCTTCAAGCTTGTTCATTCTATGTAAATCACACCACCTGTAAAAATCCAGTGTCTCTTTACATTAAAGTGTACCTTACCTGTGCCAGCGTATTTGTCTGTCATATTGATATCAATATCTAATTTCAAATTCAGCATAGTCCTAATGACATCATCACTGCCTTTCCCAGCTGCCCACATGAAGGATGTTCTTCCTTCAAGATCTGAGTCATCTTTTACAGAAGGATGTTTCAGAAATACTTCCACTGTTTCCTGAAAAGACATACCACTGAAATTAACAGGCAAAGGAATTTATAACAACAAGAAACTATTGTGTCTCGTTTAGCTGTTTGTGAAGCAAAACAAAGCTTCATTTTTCCTTTTTATGTTTATATAGAGTAATAACTCAACAGAAGCATTGTGTTTTCTGCTATGTACTTTTCTTCTACAACATTCATGGCTGTATCCTTTAGTTATACGTTTAACAGTATTATTCACTTTATCCTCTTCCTTTAGTCTCAAACGTCATATGTTTATGGTAACGGAATGAAAGACATTGCAGTCTCTGTAAGGGAAATGATGGGAAAAAACATAATGATCATATCTAAATATTACAGTAAGATTACAGTGTCAAATATTTTTCATTTAAAATACCTCTCCTGCAACATTTCCTTTTTTTGATTCAAATCTGAATATGATTTTTAGTCTTCCAAACGCTAATTAACCACACAGGGACTTCTGAGGCAACACAGAGCTTTTTTTTTTTTTCCCTAATATCTATTAATAACATCAAGTATTGAATTAGTGAAACATAACAAATAAAGGAAAATCTTTATAGCTGAGTCCAGCCTTTCCACTGTTAATTTGCACATTAGAATCTCTCCTTATATCAGTGCAAAAAGAATTTTTTCCTTGAAATGCCAGGTTTGTGTCAAGTTTTCAACAAGCAAGTCCACTTGTTTAACCCGTTGTTAAAAATTTATAAGCCCAACATGAAAGGGAGGGAGAAGAAATCACCATTTTAGGAAAAAGAATTATGCAAGATTTCCCCTTTTCTCTATAAAAGCTTCCTTGGCTGTGAAAAATCCCTCATGCAGCTATTCAATCAAGATTCATTAAGGTTTTTAAGAATCCTATTTTTAGATGAATTTGAACACCTAATGTTTGTGAATTTCAGTCCTTATCTAAAATACTAATTAATTGTAAAAAAGTCCAGATAGATAGACATAATAGGAAATGGAAGCATTAAGTTTTCCACAGCGTGTTTCCACACCGAACAGCAGGTGTTAATAGTTCTGTGTTCTCACACTGACCACCGCTACCTCTGGTAGTCATTAGGCCAACAACTCAGCACCCCACCACAACTCTGCACTGCCTGAAATGCTGCAAGTTGAAAAGCAGTGCAAAGGCTGGACCTTCTTACTAAAAAGGCGTAAGTCCTACAAACATAAATAAGTAATTCAATTTTTCCTTTAACTGTTAACAATTCGACCTTTCATTTAATCACTCTCTTTTTCCCAAACCTTTTAATGAGAAAAAATAGAAGAAAATCCCATACAGTTTGAAATGTTATTTTTCAAAATAAGGGTGTTGCAATTTGAGAAAAAAGGAAAGAATAAGAAAAAAAGATAAGAAAATTGAATGATTATGACATCAAAAACAACAAAAAAAAACAAACAAGCCAGCATTTTTCACTTCAATTCTAT